TTATACGATCTTCAGATGTCACGTGAGCGATCCATTCTTCAACCAGTTCAGATGCACTTAGACGGCAGCAAATGCAGATTTCTTTCACTAAACATACACAAACTAACCAGTGAATAACTTAGTGGATTTAAACTCAGAAAAACGACCTCATTATCTCTTCCGACTAGAAATGATCAGAGATTAAGAGATTGGACCCGAGATGTACATGCACAAGCGGTCTCCTTGAAGTCGACGAAAATTTTGCGAACCTAGCGATTCTTTAGCAGGGGACCAAGAGGACGCCAAAGCGAAATTAAATTGCATCTAGCCAAAATATATCCTTATGTCATAAGCTGAAGTACGTACATTTATCGAGGATGGACAGGTCGTCTATAGTAACAGAAAACTCCTCAAATTCTTGCTCGATTTCTTCGTCCGTCACCATCTTTTTCGCCCTGCAACACTTTGGCGCCAAATGTTTCATCGTCAGCTATCCCAGAAACCCATTAGAGTGGAAGCGCGTGAGTCGCGCGCGCGAGGGAAGATAAAAACACGCTAGCATGCGCTTCCTAAAAATCTCAGCATAACCGCGGCAATGACACGTCATATCCGCAGACCTTGTCCCTCGGTTAAAGAGCATTCTGCTTGATTATTCAGCCAGGTATAGTAAAGTTTAGGTCTCGACACCCTGGATAGCAGCTCTCGCCCCACCATCCTCCCCACAGGGGCATACCGCATATTCTCTCCTGGTTCACCGACTCGCCCAGTCTCCCTTATCTCATAAATCGAGAGTTAAATTTCTATGCCTATAATTTCTATATGTTTGCATCAATCGAAATCACGCGCATTTACAAGGCCTTAAAGCATTTTGCTGACTTGCAAGGATCCATCTGTGACATCTGTTATAAAGATCCCAAAAATAAAGGGACAAATCTCATAGTTTATTAGATATAATCGTGTAAAGTTTGCTTATCATTTTCACATAAATTATGACCTTAGTTTGCAAACCACTGAATTTCTCGTATTGGGTGTTTACGATTTTGGTGAAACTCTGTTCAACGCAAGGCACTAATGCGCACTATATATAGGTGAGAGATTTTCACGAAAAAATGCCGGCAACAGCAGAATTTCGACTCAAACCCAACAGAGGCGTGGCACTTAAACCACGTGACATTTACTCCGATCGCCAAACATTTTATGCTATATTGTAGATTGATCTATATGTTATCAATGCTATATGTTAGACTCACGATCAAAGTAAAGGTGGGGATACCAGAGAGCTTCAAAGTAGGATGGTACTCTCACCAATAACTGGGTCGAGTCAACTTAAGGACCCACTAAAGGGGAGTCATTGTCCTAGACGGTCCTATAGGAGACCGTGGAAACTGGGACTAATTAAGGCCAGGTTCAAACGCCGAACTTATGGGCCGAACCTGTCCTAATACATTGAGTTAGTACGAGAAAAGTTCGGCATCTGAATCAATTAGGAACGGCTCAGCCGTTCTTTTCGCCTGGCCCGGCCGGGAATTTCGCCTTTTCAGCGACTTTGCAACCGCTTTGATTCAGACACCGAATTTCAACCTCGTCCCCAGGGCGCTTTTCCCTGGCTCCAAAGCAAGGGAAAAGCGCCCTGGGGACGAGGTTGACCGAACTTTTCACCATGTACCGAACCTAATGCATAAATTATTATAACGTATTTTGTAAGCAGTTTGACCGAAATGAGCATTTTTCGCGTTTTGAACTTAGTTTAGCTGCAATTAAGAACGACGTCTGAATCAATAGTTCAGCCGCTCTTAATAATTTGGGTCGGCCTTAAACGTTAATTTATTTCAGTTACGGCTAACTAAAAAGTTAAAAATTAAATTCTTTTGTTTCAAAGCGTTAAATATTAATAAATCTGTATTTTTTGTATCTTTAAGGACTTTAAGCGAAATAAAGGTCTTAGGATCATCTCGGGATGAAATAAATTATTCTTTTGAAAAATTTTAACATTGAAAGATCACACTTTTTTCCCGCCCCACCCATTTTTTAAGGGAAAAGTCCTGGGGACGAGGTTGACTTTTAAGTATTCCAACTCTGATATTATTTTACCCATAGGAATGTCAACGGTTACTTTAAAAAAAAATCTTCGTGGAAAAGCAAAAGCAGACATGCGAACGCCTAACTCGCGGCGGGGGCGCGACATCCAGTTATAACGAAAAAAAAAAAATTCAAGGGTCCAGTTATATTTACGATAGGGAAGGACCCGTTGCCTTGTCCCTAGTCCGGAGTCCTCATTATTCTGCGCGGCTAAGTGCGTTTCAGGTCACGTGGTCCGAGCAAGTTTTGTCTCGGATACGCCATACAGGGGCTAGGCATGGTAATGTCTGGACTTGCTACCAGTCAACCTCTCAGCGAGCAACCAAGTTAAAAAGGGAGTTTTAGAAAGTGTGGGCAATGTATACCGTAACTTCAGAGAAAAACAGCGAATTATTACAGGGAATTGACGTTTATCGGCAACGTGTTTAACAAACCGTGTCTGCTTGTTGTTTCACTCAAGCACACGACCCTCTGAAAATCGCAAATATTCGGCTCCCCAACAAGAAAATCAGATTTTTCTATGGGAAATATTAGTTCCCGCAAACATAACAAGTTTCTACGGGAGTTTTATTTTGCGATCCGCAAGATAAAACTCTTACAAAAACTTCATGCCACCCGGTATCTTAGAATTCAAGCTAACAGTACTTACCGTTCAGCTGGCTTGCACCAACAAGCAACAGGGGTAGTTCCAGATCTAGCTGCTGCTGGGTCGATATAAAATAATGTTCTGTTTTGCCTCTGATTTTGGCAAGGCTTTACAGATTTTAGACTGAACTTCCTGGCTTGCTCGTTAAGGCCAGACTTTTCCACACTTCCTCACCTCTGAGAAGTGTAGAACTAAGTAAAGAATGACAGAGGTTTCGTGACCAGGAGAAAAGTGTGACATTATCCTTAGTTTGTCAGACTTTTCCACATTTCTACTCCTCTGAGAAGTGTGGAACTAAGGATGAAAAAGCAAAGTAGGGATCTGGTGGCCAGCGCTGGACATTTGTGCTGAGTGGTCGAAAAAAAAGAAAAAAGAATCTTAATTAGCAAAACTGCGATTGTCAGGTGTTGTAAACTTTCATTGTATACAAGTAGTCGTGTGATGAGCATCCGGTTTATTTTCGGCGACGAATGAAATACTGGCCATGTAAGTCACTTTTTTAATCTCTTGCAATGGTGTAATTTCTCTGGAATTGAGGCCCGTGAATTTTCGTTGTCGTCGCTAACACGCGACTAAATCAATTCAGAAACAAAAAGTATTCACGTCGATAAAGTGGGAAGTAACACACCTTCAGCGAGTAAATGCTGTCTCGTGTAGAATTAATCGCCTTCTCATTTCTCGATCTAATCTCCAAGCAAGCGAGAGTGACGCTGCTGTAAGAGCGTTCTTATTTCAACTCTTTATGAAGGCAAGAAAATTGTTTCTGTTTGACTGTAACCTGGCCAAAAAAGACCCAAATAACAAATGACTTTGGAGGACTTCCTTGAGTCCTTTTTCCACAACTACCCCTAACTGACTCAAGAAAGAGGCCCGGGTAAAGAGGTCTGTTATATGATAATTTGCAAAATGTGTACTGTACTTCAGTACAACTTTTAACTTCTACTAGCGGGTATTTGGCAAAACCACACTCCAGACTTGGGTACAGTCGATTCCCACTTTTAATTCCAGACACACGCTTTACGTTGACCCTGAAGAAAGCTGTAAACGTCTTCGCTAAATTTAACCCGCTTAAATTCTGATAAGTCTCGAAGTCTCTTTTTTGGGTCATTTTTGCGTCCCAGCGAGCTTTATCCTTTCTTGCAATGGTCTTGGAGAATCTTGACTTTTTTTTCTGCCCACAGGTCTCGGAGTCTTAGATTTGTCTTTTTACCGTAAAGTTCCGAAAGTAACGACCCCTCGAAAGTAGCGAACCTCCAAAAGTAGCGTTAAAATGTCACAGGTGTTAGCAAATTCAGAAATAAGTGATGAGGCCTCCTAACGTAGCCTGAAACCATACTTTTCAGTATTTGACCCTGTTTTTTTTTTTGCCTTTTTCCCCCACTGCCGAGCCTGGTCCCAGGCTACCGAAAGTAGAGACTGCAAAAATATATTTCCCTTTTTGCAAAAAATAACGGATAATGATATGATAGACATCCGAAACAAATTAAATGTCACGTTCCTCCGAGGTTTATTAATAATTATCAGGATACGCATTATCTTTTTTCAAAAAGTTTTCCCATTACATTTTTTGTGATTTTAGTTTTTGAGGTGCCCAGGTGGAGTAAACGTTTTAGCCATCCGAAAGTAACGATCCTAAAGTAGCGAGCCTCCGAGAGTAGCGATAGCAGAAGGGTGTTCAATCCAAAAGTTAAGAGGATCGTAGTTTCAGAACTTAACGGTATGTTTCTGTTTGGTCTAACTCTTTAGGAGTCGAATTTTTCAAAGTTCATGGGTACAGCTAATCCCCCGGAGCTAATCGAACTGGGCTAGTAGATAGGACAGCACAGTCGTTCGGACACCCGCAGCAAGAGATCTGGGACCGAGGTTCGGGCAAGGCGTTGGTTTCTGGAAAGTCCCGCTAACTTTTCGGGCCCGAAATGAAACATTCAAATCGAAATGCAAAGAAAAAGAGCGCGCATCCTGGCTAACAAACTACTTCATTTTGTGTCATTAAGTGATAGTTTTATCATGTTACATGCAAAGCTATTGAGACCTCAATCTTTAATGTAAACGAAGACAGCTTTCCGGCCCGTTAATTATCGGGACTTTCGAGAAACGGGCCCCAGGTTAGGTTCGCCGGGGTTCGCCGGGGTTGGTTCCGGGTTGGTTACTACGCATGCTTTTCACAATGACCGCTGGAAAGAAAGTCGTCGTCATCGTCGCTGCCGCCGCGCAGATCGCGTTGATCGCGTTCGACCGTTCTTGAGGTCGGGAGGTTCTATCTTTCTAAGGAGTTTCTGTTGTACATTGGTTTCCGATGGCTGCTGACGATCAAGAGTATTATGGCTATTATTATGCCACTGAAGAAGATAGAGGGTTACTTGATCCAGCATGGGAAAGACAACAGCGCAAGGTAATCCCTAGGAAACCGAATCGTGACTAGTGTAGTGTATTGCTGTTATCTACAAAATGAAGCAGAATTACTGCATGATTGATTTCCCTCTTATCACGGAATCCTTTATTATTGCAACGAGCTAAATGCGTTAACAGCAATATTTTCCCTACTATTGTATCCGCAGACCTTTACAGCTTGGTGTAATTCTCATTTGAGGAGGATAAAAGTGCAGATTGAGCAAATGGAGGAAGACTTCAGGGACGGCCTGAAACTCATGGCGCTATTGGAAGTAATATCGGGAGAAAGACTCCCCAAACCTGAAAGAGGGCATTTGCGGTTTCATAAGATTTCCAACGTTAATAAAGCACTAGATTTTGTGGCCTCCAAAGGCGTAAAACTTGTGTCAGTTGGAGCGGAAGGTATGTTTTGGGGGTGTTGCTCAGACAAACTTCAATAGGCTATGTTCGTCATGTCTTGATTTTAATATTTTTGAGCATCTCTAAACTTATATATTTCTCCCATAGAAATTGTGGATGGTAACCTTAAAATGACTCTAGGAATGATATGGACGATAATTTTGCGGTTTGCAATTCAAGACATAGCTGTAGAAGGTAATTTTTTGGTATAAGGACGCTTTTTCAAAAGCAAGGAAATGTATGCGTATTTTAAGTGAAATGTGTTTCATTTTCCGCGTTATTTAGAGTCGTTTGCAAAGGATGGATTGCTCCTTTGGTGTCAGCGTAAAACAGCTCCATACAAAAATGTCAACGTGCAAAATTTTCACAGGAGGTAAATTCAAATTATAAAAAAATAACGTAAGTTGCCTTTATTTCCTGGCTATGTTAACACGAACGTTAGTCTACTTCAGAGGTCATTAGAATGCACAAACATGATGTTGTTGCTGATTTTATTGCAGCTTTAAAGATGGCTTGGCGTTTTGTGCTCTTATTCATCGTCATCGTCCGGACCTTATCGATTATAATTCGCTAAGCAAGGTAAAGTTGTAGACGATGTCGTCCCTACTCCCCGCGTAGTTGTTTTGTGTTTGTGGACATAGCACTTCATTGGGTGTGTCACACATTGTATGCGTGTCATGTCTTGTCAGGCGTGATTAGAATTTATTTTTTGATCATTATGTTGCTATTATTAAAAAAACGTTTGTGGCAGATTCTTATCAGCACTTTAACTGAGATTCACTTAATTTTCAACCTTAAACAACGAACTTAAGCTTAGTTCTTGTTGTTTGAACTGATAGAAACTTACTTGAGCTTGTGCGTTTTAAATTTGGTTGCATTTGGGATTACTCGCATTTCACTATTGTCTTCAATATTCAATTATGATACTGCCCTTGAAAGGAGACTTTAAATTTGTATTGTTAATGAACTACAGAGGTTAGACCTGTGCTTTTATTTTTTATACACAGTTGTACCATTGTAAGTTGCTTTTAATCATTCAGGTCGAACATTCTGCATTTTTTTCATAACAGAAAGTCCTCCCGTTTTTCCACTTATGCAAAATATCATGTCAAGTGACTGAAGGGTTTTTGCTTATTATGTTCAAATTATAAAAATAAATTTCTCTTAAAAGTGTCGTCTTCAAAACTGAAAACAGTAAGTAGTATAGGGAAAATACACACATAATCTGGTTTATTTAAACGAGGCAAATTATCAATTTAAAAAGCTAAAAGCAAAGTAAAAAGGTTGAAAAGACTACACATACCTAACTGGTTTTACATGATTGCTGTAAGGGAAACTGAAAATTAGCAAGCTAACCAGTATATTTCCCTTTTGAATTGACTGCTGTTGTGGTATCCCTGTCAATTAAGCATTATTCTTTGTTTCAGTATTTATTGATTATCATTCTTTTTTTTATCTTTTTCTCTCTTTACCATGTAATAGGTGAAGCTAAGAAAATAAATGAATTGAATAAATAAAGTGACTGAGCTAGGTTATTCTTTGTGTTTTTTTCCAAATCTTGACACTTCTATAAGAAAAACTTTGATTGCAGTAATCTGTATGTGTTTTTGGAAGAGAAAGCTTGAAATCAGGGTTTTGTAAATTATACTTAGTGTGGCAAGGTGTAAAGAGATCTAAGAAGGGGCAAGCCCATGGAGGAACTTGAGCACACATAGCTTTCTTCTTTTTTTAACATACAGCAAGAGTCTCCCAGTTAATTCTATAGTCTCGTGTATACTATGAGTATTTCAATCATAAGCACATCTGAGAGGATTCACATTTCTAGTGATATTGCAGGAAGAATGGTGTCTATAAATTGTGCTGCTAATGTGGTTTATTTTCCACACCCCAAACTTTGCAGTGTAGCAGGAGTGCTAGCAATTTTTTGCTTTTCTTTTTTCTTGACAAGTTTATTCAGTGTAGAAGGCACTCACCAACTATCATTGCTTGTTTTATCAACAGGAGAATCCTTTGGAAAACCTGAATTATGCCTTTGATGTGGCTGAGCAACATTTGGACATTCCTAAAATGCTTGACGCTGAAGGTCAGTTTGCAGAATAGAGTTCTACATGGTGATCTGATTATTTACTTAGCCGTCTTTGTCACAACATATATTAACATATATTAGCATAACATATTATCAGTAAATCTTTTAGAATAATTGAGCTTTCTGTGGATTTGGTCGAAGCGTAAACCAGCTCTTCTTTCCGTGTTTTTTGTTTGCCCCTTAATTTCAGCCTAGCATGCAGCCAAATTTTATTGTTTTTAATACTTAAGATGCCAAGACAGCGTGGGAATGCCCTGTTTCTAAAACAACAATGGAAACGATTTTATCTTTTCTTTTTTATATTAATTTTAGTTATCTTATGTACAGGAAAGAAAACAATCATAAGTTACGTTTTAGCTAAGCAGACACAGCAGCCAAAACCCATAAAAGTATTAAATTTGCATACTTGAATACAGCAACTTCCATTTTATACAGAAATAAATTGCCCTGCATTGCCAGTCGCACTCTGCGCCTGTCAGAGAAGTATTAACAGCTTCTCCTAAAAACCATACTTAATAAACCATTCTATCTGAAAGGAAACATTTTAAAACTGTTCTGAGATGTGATACAAATCAAAATGCGTCCCGCTTGTCACGTTCAAACTGATGGATTATGTTACAAGTGAAATCATGCAGAACAATCTTTAAACATTGATGCACGCCTTTTTTTTGTACAAAAGACATTTTCTGTAGGGTTTAGTAAACTCTGACTCAACCAGCCAACACCGTTATGAAAAATTTTTCTTCCTACTAAACTGAACACTGTGCTTGAAGTGAGAGTGCCCAACCTGGCGACCAGCAATTTCTTTTCACTTGCCCAAAGCTAAATTTTAGTTACCTCAGGCGACTGGGTGCAGTTAGAGCACAGCCTTGTAGCATTTGGGTAGCTGCCTACTGCCAAGGTCCAGCCCTGTTTGTTGCAGGTTTGCTGAACATTGACAAAAGTGGTTTGTGTGCTGTCATGATGGTAAACCTTGAAGCACCATGAAGGTTCTCCCAAAACTAGCAGTTTGCTGACAGAAGAGACTCACAAAGCAGTTTCCCATCTTGGAATTTTTGTGTCAATGTGGTGCTGTCTTCCTCAACCTTTTGCTTCTGTGTGGTGCTGTTTTGCCTAATCCTTGCCCTGGTGTTTCCTAGTTTCTCCAGCCTTGCGTTTCACCAACTCCTCATAGAAAACTGCCAACTTCATGAATAGGTTGAAAGGGCTCTACCCCAACTCAATCACAAAGGAATGGAGCGACATGGCGGTGTAACTCCACAGTATAAATGATCTCGTTAAATTGTTGAAACTTGGGGAGTTATTCGAAGCAGCTAGATTTGCAGCTCAGATATTGTTAATAAATGTTAATGGGATTCATATTGATAATTTTCTCATTGAAAATCCTTGGTGGACATTACACAATTTTTCGAAAAGGCCTTTACTTAAATGGTGGGAGTGTATTAACAGCAGTTTCCAACAAGTTGATAGCAACCGATGAAAGTACTTGTTATTGGAAATAAACCCCTACTTCATTTGATCCATTTATGGAGACCAAATGGTGCTTTCGAACCCTTGGAGTGTCTGGATCAAACTTTTTCCAGGCTCACAGTGAAATCTCTCCTAAATGTAGTACTAACTAGCAATTTCAATTTGCCAGATGTGCTCTGGGACAAAGAAGGTGGCTACTTTCTAAAACCAAGCCCTGCCCATGGTACGGAAGTAAACACCAAGCTGCTTGATATTAAAAATGACCACTCTATGTTTCAGCACATGAAACAAGCTACACACAAAGGAAACATTCTTGATTTAGTACTCACAACTAACCCAAACCTAGTACAGAATGTCCAGGTGGTTTAGGGTATGAATGATCACAATGCAGTTCTTGTGGATATTGCTCTGAAACCGTCCATTAACAGAAAACAAGTGAGGAAAGTTTTGCTGTATAAAAAGGATGATGTAGAATTGGATAGAAATGACTTGAAACTACAAGGTCTAGACAATTATCTCACTGACAATCAAGTGATGAAAAAGCTTTATCCTCTTAAGAAATTGGGATCGAGCTGGAATGTACCATGGATGAATAGCTGAATCAAGCATATAATAATGCAAGAAGCCAGTAGTCTGGTAGCTCTTCAGAACCTCTAATATGGGTTGCAGCTGTTTTTTTTCTGTGGCTAGGTTCCATTGTTAACTTTGTTTGTTTATTGTTTTCCTAACCGGTTGTGAACCAATCCCTGTGAGGACTTCTGACGGCTGTAAGACTGCCCAAAGAAACAGAAACTGTCACTCAAACCTAATGGCCAACTGAAGCTGATTGGAAGAAGTTTAAAGGTCTATGCAAAACAACTGTTAAAAGGTTGACTTGTGCATATGAGAAGTACTTGTTGGAACCCCTGATGACCGATAACAAGGACCATGATACTTGTAAACCTACGACGACCAAGCGATTTTGGACCTATATAAGATCTAAAGTCATGACAACGTTGGTGTCGCTCCCTTGGAGTTCAACAATGATGTCCTGTCCAACAGTCAGGGGAAAACAAATTTACTAATCTGTTTTTACCAAAGAAGATCTGCAAAACATCACCCCTGAAGCTACTAGCCTGTAACCCTAGCCTGGCAGGGATAACAAAACTTCAGAAGGTGGACTGCAAAAAGCTAATGGACCTGATGGAATCTCTTGTTACAAATTAAAGGAGGCCTGGCTAAGACAATGGCTTATGTGTCAAAGCCAGTCAGTTGCTATTGATGGGGACAACTCCCTGGAAGTGCAAGTTCTTTCTGGGGTCCCCGAGGGGACAGTCCTTGGCCGCCTTGCTTTTCTCTTATGCATCAACTACCTAGCAAACATTGTACCTCAAGCGTGCACTGTTTGCTGATGATACTTTATTTTATTGAGTCTTATAATGATGCCAACAACCTGCAGTCAGATCTAAGAGCACTTCAAGAATGGGCCCAGAAATGGCATATAAAATTTAAGTCCAGTAAGTGTCACATCCTAAGAGTGTTGTGGAAGCAATATCCGAGTTTAACTACATCCCAAATGGAAAACTGTTCGATTTGGTCACCCACTAGCCCATCTAGAACTGTCTAAAAGCCTTGACTGGAGCCATCATATAAATAGCAAGTTAAGCGAATGGAACTGATACTCAGATTTCTCTGGCAAACCTGAGCAGTTGTGCCAAGAGAGTAAAAGAAGTAACCTACATTTACAAAGTCCTTGTTCGGCCTCGTGTGGAATACGGCCACCCAGTTTGGGACCCACATTTAAAAAAAAAAATAAGTCAAACAAAATTAATAGAGATAGTGCAGAGGAGAGCTGTGTGCTTCATTAAAAACTGTTATACGTAGGAACCAGGAACAGTTGTTAACCTCTTATATGATTGACCTGGATACCACTGAAGGAATGAAGAGCAATCTTGCGGGTTAACCATATTCCGCAAAGCAATTCACGATGATGGTAGCCTGGCTTTCCCAGATTTTGTTATGAAACATACAAGGCATTTAAGGAAGTTTAGCCAGAACAAGTTTATTGTACAGCTAGCAAATACTGAGACATTTGAACATGGTAGTGTCCATCTAGAAAACTGGTTACCTCCAGTCTAAACCAGCTAATTTTTGTCAAAACATATTTATATTGTGTGCACACTGCAGACTCCCTTACAGATTATCCCTTTCCCGCGTCCAGAGTCTGTACAGACCTACATACACTGAAAACCTAAACAAATAGAACTTACTGCATCAATAAGGTTTTCAGTTTTTATAGATATGGCAGTTGCAGCAGTGAATGGAAATAATGTGAAAGTTATTGACAATCTGTTTTAGATATGGTTAATCAAGAAAAACCTGATGAAAGAGCTGTTATGACATATGTCTCTTCTTACTACCATGCATTTACAAGCTCACAAAAGGTAATTACCAAATAATACAACAAACTTGATGATCACTTATCTGAGTGTCTTTTATGCCATGTTTTCTATAGCACTCTAGTTCATTGTTGAAAGGCTATTTTACAGGGTAGAACTTCTGGGAACCATTAATATATAGTGAGCAAATGTCTGGGTAACTGCAAGATGCTCAATTGTGTGTGGAAATTTATTTTCATTCAAAAACATTTCTTTAGGTTGGCTTACTACAGTTTTTGCACACCCTAAGAAAATACCTGATATCTTTTTTTTGAACAAACACAACTGCAGTTTTATTCAAAACTGACAATATTATTTCATTAAAATGCTTGTAGCTTGTTTGTACTTCTATAATAATATTCATGTAATCTTTGAGAAGATGCTGGAGTTAATCTCACTAATGAAGTGTCTATAACTCATATTTTCCATCTGTATCAAGTGTACACAAGTGAGTTTTCTAGAAAAAATACAATGTATCCATCAAAATGTGTAGACTACATATTAACACAAATTAACTATCAGAGCAAAAAACACATTGGAAAATTTTTTACAACCACTTAAATGTGCACATACTGAAAATTGAATTATAACAGCCAAGGTGAGAGAAAGAATCCTCTAAAAGGTCTTGTTTTCAGTGTTCTTCGTAACTTGAGCTTAGTTAGAACTCAGTTATCTTATTTTATCATTTTCCAAAACTCATTTTGAAGGCTTGTTGGAATTTCTTTTCAAGGATGACACCCTAATAGAAACCCCTTGCAGCTTTTAGTTTGAATATTATTTTGAAGTTTTAGATTTCAGAATTTTTGTAACTTTTGTCATTAAATCATAACTTCAGGTTAAGGTGTTTAAATTTTATCATAGTTAATTCATAATCTTAGCAATTAGTAATTCAAACTTTTAACATAATTTTTTGTTTTAGTTTCTGCCTTAATTTCCCTGTGGGATATCTGTTAGCCAGCCATATGGCTAAACATACAATATATTCACCACGTAAAATAAAGTGTCTATGTCTGTGTCTGTTCAATATCATTATCTTGTGACGACTGTTATAACAACTCTGTGTTTTTTAATAGGCTGACACAGCAGCCAAACGAATTGGGAAAGTGCTTAATATCAATAGAGGCAATGAAAAGATGATGGAGGACTACGAAAATATGGCCAGTGATGTATGTACACTTATTAAGCACTTGATTCCCTTTAATACACAAGTCCTCAGCCAGTGTCTTACTAAGAATTACCCATATACAGATAATATACATTGAAACTGTAGCAGCCCATACATGTAGCATTATAGTGATCAGGAGAGTGAAATAACAGATTGAGTCAGGTGCCACAGTAGGGAGCTTTACATCAAGAACATGACAGATCTGTGTTTTTCACAGCAAAGGCTTCCTGCACATGCTTCACCGTGTCATGAGTTAAATATAATGCATATCAATTGCCCTTGTTTTGAACAAAATAAGTAAGAATATGTACAACCTAGAGTCTTGTACTAACTTCCTGGAGAAATTTGCACCACAACCCCAGCAAAGTTGTGACATATTTTGCCTTGTAGCCAGTGTGATTTTAATTTTTTCCAGCAATTATCTTACCCACATTGATGAGCTCCATGGGGCAACTACAGTTTTTTCTCAGTTGTGAGATTGACTCATAGTGCTTCTGTGAAATTATTTTTTGTAGCTTCTTGATTGGATCAACAAGACTATGCCATGGCTACAGAACAGAAACAATGATGGTACATTAAATGACATGCAGGTACAGTTCATTCAGATGTGTATAACATCTCATCACACTTCAGGTCTGGCTTCTTGAAGGATTTATGTTGATTCCAAAACATAAATCTGTTGATTACAGCATGTCTTTTTCATGCTGTACAATGGACATGCGCATGACAAAGTGTATTTTAATTTTGAATTATTAAAGATGGCTTTTGTTGTTTAGAAAAAGTTAGATGATCTTCGAGTATACCGGAGAAGTGAAAAGCCTCCTCGTGTAGAAGAGAAGGGAATGCTGGAGACCAACTTCAACACCTTGCAGACCAAGTTGCGGTTAGGAAACCGACCTGCATACCTCCCTACAGAAGGGAAAATGATAAGTGTTAGTTGTGTTCTTTTCCATTGGTAACTAGACCACCTAAAGCAAGTTCAATTACATGTAATGTTGGCAGAAATTTTTTCATGTACCTGAGGTTTGTTGTTGGTGTGTTCAGGAATACCAGTACTGTTGGTAAGAAATGTGGGCAAACATTGGAGTTTCGCTTAAAGATGCAGTTGATGCTAAGAACTCCCTTTACAATAAGTGGATAATAAAATGTGTGTATGACTAAGATAGCCCTTTTAGTTCCAGTATAAACAGAAGAAATCGCAATGGAATTATGAATGTGGAAATTAAATTGAACAACACAGTCAACAAGACTCAGATTGAATTCCACTATTATATTTAGAAGGAAGATTGCTTAGATAAGCTCCCAATGAAAACAGTAATACCCAACAATGCTAAATGTGGCAACTGCATAAAGTCTTAAATTATGGTCATTCAGTCTGTCATTCAATCCATGTTCAATAATCCAAGGTCATTGAGACTCAAAGGTGAATCTTGAAAAAGCTTACTTTAAAGTTTATTGAAGCTTCAGATGGCAAGTGATGTAGCATGCTTGGAAACATATTATATTAAAATCACTTTAGTGCTAAAAATAATTACTCAAAAATATGAGAGATAGAAAGCAAACAATTTTAAGACCTGGTTTAACTAAACCGACATGGCATGGGTTTATAGACTATGCAATTACTTGTATTTACCGGGGGCTCGTCCGCCACTAAGCTGAGATCAGGGTATACAGCTTTTGTTTCACTTGGTAATAGATTCATGGTGGGCAAGTTGAATTGAAAAGTCCGCTTCTGTTACAGAAAATTACATGTGGATGTGTTAATGAATCAAAGTATCAAACAAACATTGTTCCAAATACCTCAGAAATTTACATTCAGGTGATTACCACAGGGGTTTTAGATGAACCTTCATCTCAGCACCAAGGACGCTTCCCAGTAACGTGGACAGATTTTGCTAAGACCCTGCTGTACTGTCTAAGAAAGTGCACCAGACTACCCCACTAAGAATTCATCATTATAAACCATTGCTTGCATTGTCTTTGGTTACCTTCTAATCTAGGACATAAACAGAGCTTGGGGGAATTTGGAATCAGCAGAAAAAGATTATGAAGACTGGTTGTTAACAGAAATGAGACGGTAAGACCATAACATTATAATCTTTAACAAAACTGTTGAGAGAGTTGCGCTTTCATTGTCCTCCCAGAGTTTGCGGCCAAACATGTATATATTTGCAGAATTTATGAAAAAGTAAAGAATAAAATATGTTGTTACAATGAAGGAATTTTGAATCTCAATTTGAACACATAAGGTGTGCTTAGTTGTGTCAGGTAATAATTATTACATTTTTTATTGTAACCTCCAAGCTACATCAGAACATACCCTTAAAAATAGCAGAATTATTTCTGTAAACATCTTTATTTTCATCAAATGGCATGGGGGGGGGGGGGGGAATTTTTAGGAAATACTTTTTTTTAAAAATGCTAAATTAAACTTTTTTGTAATGGGGGTAGTGTTCCCCTTTTTTGATTAAATTACTCCTTTTTTTCCTATTTTCGGTTGTTTTTTTCCATCTCATAGACCGCATTCGGAAGATACGAAGTGTGTCGTACAGTGAATGAGGTCAGTAATATGGGGTACCGGGGGCTGGGGAAATATAATTTGTGCGTATATTTGATATATATTATATATATATTTATATTTAATATATACTCTAAAAACAAAACAAAACAACTATAAAAAAAAGATGATAGTTTTTTTATATGAAGTTTTTTAGTAAATAAGTGGGGGGGGGGGGGGGGGGGGGGCAGATATAGGGACAACTTTTTTTACTAAAACTTATAATATAATTTTTTGAAATGTGGACAGTGTTGCCCTTTTTTGTAAGAAGCAAGCCTTTTTTTATCATTTTTGGGTGTGTTTTTGCAGTGTCTTGAACTCATCCAGAGGCAACAATGTATGATTTGTTTATGAGCAACTTGTTCTCCTTATCAGGTGGTAACTGGTAAAATTTACCACCTGAAGCAACACTTCTTTCCTCTTGCAAACGCTTGAAGGTTTACTAACATTAAATAAAGTAGAATTTAAAAAAAAGGTAGTTGTGATCTGAGCGGATTCTCAGAAGGAAAATGAATAAATATGTCTGGAAAAGTACTGAAGTATACACAGCTTTTCTTTTTATGGGTCATGCATTTTGGAAAGAGAACATTGGAGACGGGGTGAAATAATTTAATAGTTGTCTTAAGATAACAATGGCCGATTTGCATAAAATAGGTCGTAAAATGAGAGAATGACATTTCAAAGAACTCAGCTCCTAAATTTCTCAGTGGGGGTGGGGCTGTGTCCCTCTTTTTTTTCATTTGTTTATTTTTCATTTTTTTATTCCAGACACACAAACAATAATATTACAATACATTACATTTACAATACATTACAATAAATTCTAATTATCGTTTACTAGATTTTACCTTAGCTTGAAACAGGTAACGGTTATTGTTTAGAGAAGGGCAAAAAGTGAAATAAAAATAAAAAGAAAGACAAAGTCCACAAAAATACTATAGTTTATATATTAACAGTTAAGAGAAGACTGCCTGCCTTATGTTCCTCCATTTCCCATCTACCCGTTTGTCACTTGCACTTTAATAAACTGTGTAAATCAAATTATTTTCTGTGGGACATTGTTTGAAAGTAGCCCATTCCTTCCTAAAGGAGGCTAAGTTATTATTATCAAAGGCAATCTGTTTCTCAATTTCCATGGAGCATATGACTAACTAACCTCTTTTCATTATCCCCTATCCCCACCCCCCTCGAAAAAAAAGGTGCACCTCTGACGCAGATTTTTTTGCCTTACTGGCTGTGAATGGTCCCATACCTGCTGCGTTAATTAAGGAAGATCACTGTTATGAGACATGTTATTGATTGTATGCTATACTTCTTATTGGTAAGCAAACAACCAACAACCTCCATGGCCCCTTTTGGAATAAACGTAAGGGGAGAAGTGTGTATGTGTTATTTTCTTTTGAAATTGATTTTGTCTTTTTGGGATGGTGGCCTTAATTTATGATTTTGACCAAACCTCATGTGATCAGTGACTTCATAACACTGGAGCAATTCTCAGTTATGTGCCCTGAGTTCTTTGGTTTTTCCCTTTTCAACAGCATGGAACGACTGGATCATTTAGCAGAGAAGTTCAAACACAAATGTAATATTCATGAAGCATGGACCTCTGGAAAAGTTGATACTTTAAAAACAGATGATCAGGAGAAGGCTACTTTGGCTGAAGTGCTGGTAGATAATCAGTCTTAGCACTAAGTAATGTGACTTCAAAAAGAAGCAACAGTAAATAATATTTAGAGAAGGCTATATCCATATCTATGTCTATGTTTTTCAGCTAACACATTTCAGTAGGCACTGTTTGTAATAGTTACTGCAGTAAGAACTTCTACCCACATCTGCCATGTCCACAGATTCTACAATTTGCAGCTGAAGGGGTGTTAATGCATTGCAAGCAAGGAACTACTGATTTAATAGACAAAATTAATTTACTAATTAAGGGAGAGTTTAATTAAAATGCTAAGGCTTGTGTTCATGTTATGTTTTAGGCCTTGAAGAAGAAACATGAGGCATTTGAAAGTGATCTAGCAGCTCATCAGGACAGGGTTGAGCAAATTGTTGCAATTGCTCAAGAGCTTAAGTAAGCATTACCATCATGATAAAGCACTTCTAGTTGTTAACCTTCAAGAAAGCTCATACCTTCACCCCTACACAGCTGGGATTGAAAATAATAATGTTATGGCACTTTTTTTGGTGTGTTTCCTGTGATATGTGTTCGGCCCCTGAACACTATTGGTAGTCCCATACAATCTCATTTTGGTCTGTATTAGGATTGTGTTTATGTGTCAAACAGAATAAATACTTACATGCCAATGATCAGGGTCTTTAATTAACTGAGAAGAAAGTGCTGCCTTTGTAATGACATCCTCCAAACAGACCTTCTAGTCTTCGTGGATAAGAACAAAAAAACATAGGTCCTAGCCCACAGCACTTTCATTTTTCTGGTTCTTATGGGATGTAACAGAACCCACACCACTGTTCGGAAAGAGTAGGGGGCGTAGATCCCGGTAGTGTGGCTAACCTTTCCTGGGCTGGTGGACAATATCTGTGAGGAGAGATCTTAACATAGGGTTAGCCTCATGATGCTCCTTCAGGTGTTGTAATGGCTACCTGTAAACAGTGTATTTACATGTATGTAAAGGTATTTGAAAGCAATTGGAATGATTTGGTACCCTCATCGAGGCCATTACATGTAATCATGATATTTTTGTTTTTAGTGCACTGGGTTACAGCGATGTTGCCTCTGTAAATTCAAGATGTCAGGTAAGAATCTCTTGAGTCATAAATAAATGAAGCGCTTGGTGTGAGAAAGTCCCTTTGATAATCTGGTAACTTTGGGAAGTATTGCGGTAAACAAAATAATCAGTATTAAAAGACCAATTTTGATGTATTAAAATTCAGACTTGGCACTGAGCCCTGAGGGAAATGAGTCATCTTGAGGCTCAGCAATGAGTAATACACTTCTTTTGGCCTCAGTGCCAAGTCTGAATTTTAATGTATTGAATTTTTTTGGTTTGTCCTTTAGTACAGGGTCCTTTCAGAAATTGATAGGCCTATCGAGTTTGTGAGAATGCATCCTAATCCTAATCCTAATTTTCTGTAAGTGACAAACGTGGATCCGTGATCAATGATTACCTCTAGTATGGATAGCATTATTTTATGCATTCTTACCCCTTTCCTATTGTCATCAATGTTGTTGTGTCTTGGTGGAGCACATCTTTCTGGCATTTTTTGAGCTCTTAACAGGTGCTTCAGTTTGTGAATTGTATGTTTTGTTTTTCTAATAGAGGTCCCAGGGGAAGTTGACCCTTTGTCTTTCTTTAAATTATGTGTAGATATGCCCAGGAATAAGATGCGAGTTGAAAGAAACATGGCGTATTTGAAGTTTTTATAAAATTTTGTTACAAAAATTATCATTTCAGGGCTAAAACGATTTTTGGACAGTGGCCGGTCATGTTGTGCAGCCAAGCAAATTTTAGGTCGGTCATGCTAGCCTGGTTCTGACAGGTCAAAATATTGAAAAGCTTTGAAAATATTTATTTGAAAGTAATAACCAATTTGAAAGACAAAAATATTGCTTCATATGCTCAAAATACTTGTTACATTGCAAAATAAGGAAAATTCAAAAATACAGGGTACGTTATTCACCTGATATTCAAAGCATTAAAAAAATGCATTTTATTGCAGATGATAAAACATGCAACAAACACAGAACTTTCTTTCTTTCTTCTTTTTTTCTGTTTTATAAACTATTGCTCGTGTGTTGTTACTCCTGTCCAGGCCACTCCACAATTGATGCTGTAATAATTGCTTGTTGATAGCAGACGATAATTGATGCGATATTGTATTGTTTTCCATTTTATTTTAGTAACCAGCTTATTGGCATTCACAAAGCTGTGAACATGAACATCTCAATTTATGACTGGGATCATTACGGTTCTGGGAAACTGCCCAATTACCCCTCCCCTATTTTTGTATGATTTAACTGTTTTTGTAATTTACGGAATTAATGTGAATAAATTTAGTTTGGCCGTTATTAATTTTAAAGCCATGCACTTGACCGGTCAAAATGACTGGCCAGCTTTCATTTTGAGCCCTGGGTCCAGTTGTTTCAAGGTCGACTAGCACTAACCTTTGTCCATCAAAGTTTGGACAACGGTAGTTAAGCAGAATTTGCTTTGTAAGGTCTCACTTCTGAATTCAAATTTTGTACTAACCCTGGATTATCTTAACCCAGCTTTGAACAACCCGGCCCTGTGTGTTTGTTCCTGAAGTGACTTTCATTAAACAACTTATTTTCAATTTTGGTTAGTTGCACTTAAGCTCCGTTTTTAAAGTACCTGTGTTTTTTTAGACAATATGTGATGAGTGGAAAGATCTTGGAACCCTTACAGAAGAGCGTCAACAAAAGATTGAGGTTTGCGAAAATATTAATTTAAATGTTGGCTGAGTGTGTGTTGTTGTCCAACACTTGACTTTCTTTGTTAACTGCAGGAACGTCAGAAGTTACTTGAAGCATTGGACAATCTGTACCTAGAGTTTGCCAAAAAAGCAGCGGTATGACATTTTGACATTTTTTGTCTCATTTGATTTGCTTGCATTGCATTGCATTGGGTAATATCAAGTTGTGGAAAGGTTGATGAACAGTTTTACATCTTTTTAAGAAAACCAAATGGCACTGTGACTTTTTAAAAAAGCTAATTTTTTTAATCTTTTGAATAGTTCCCCGTGATCATTTAGGTTTTTAGTGGAGGAAATTTTTTGTGGCTTTTTATCGTTTCACACTTGTTTTTTGTCTTTACATATATTTTTTTCAGGACCTCTCTGAAAATCACCCTGGTGAGAGAGTCTCCTGGATAAAAATGATTGTTATTATCAATGTTTTTATACCGTTTCACATCAAACGCCTGCTTTGACGGAAGGAAATGAACATGCTGACAGACAATGTTCCTTTCACAAGGGTTCCACAAACCAATGAGCACATGCTATTAATACTCTTCCACGAAGTGCTTTTCATGTATTTTGATGGCCAATTGCTATCTACCATATGGCAATGAATGTTTTGGGATGAGAATCAAAAGTGGAATTGAAGTTGCCTAGTGCGGCAGTTGCAGTCAAAGTAAATTTTGAACTGTGCAATAACAAGATTAAAAATCTTAACTGAAGGGCTGGACATTTTGTCAGAAATTTGCATGGTTTAGCATAACTGAGTAGTTGAACCTCAGGACTTGAGACTTCAGCAAATCGAAACAGCATTCAGTGCCAGACTCAAATTGTGAGTCCAAAGCTGTACTGACCAGTCTCGTATGTTTTTTTGTTCCCTTTGAAGCCATTTAACAACTGGCTCGAAGGCGCTCGTGAGGATTTGATGGACATGTTCAGTGTACACACTGTGGAGGAGATAGTGGTATGAAGTGGCACAGTTATCTCTTTGTCATTTTTATTACTTTTTGAAATGTCATACTTTCTTAATTTGTTTTTATTTATTTATGGTAACATCTACCTAGAGCCTTGAAAACTAAATTACAAATGTTGAAAACCGCACTAGTGATGGCTCAGTCAGTAGAACATGTGACTGCAGAGCGGGAGGTCACGGGTTCATTTCCCGGGGGCCGTCCAATACTCAGGGTCTTAAAATAACTGAGAAATGAAGGTACTCCCTTTGCACTGCAAGTGGCTAGACCTTCGCGTGGCTCAGATGACCATGTAAAATGGCGGTCCCGTCTCCAGTAGGAGATGTAAAAGTAGTATCCCCTGTTAGTACTTTCGTGCTAAATACATAGCCATGCTAATATTATAAAGTGCATTTTTTTTATTATGCGATTAATTCAACGTAACCGAAAATTAGAAAATACATGTTATCAACAAAAACACACAGTGAATAAACACGAACATAGCGAATCAATATCCAATCTACGTTACATCTGTAGATTTAATTGTTTAGGTCGTATAAATTTATCTGGGCGCTAATCAGATCGACCTTATGTAAAGCTATACGTATATAATTTTATATATATTTTTTCTCATAAAGGGGTGTTTCCCCTTTCACCAAACTCGAAAATATTGTAGCTTTCTTTGAAGATCAGATTTGTCGTTTCTTGTTTGAAGTGATATTCCTTCTGCTTTGCTTTGTATTGTTGGTGGTGGATAGTTGTAACCTATGTCTCTTAGATACAGTAATAATATTTGATTGTATTTATAAAGGAATTACAAGATGCTCACCAGCAGTTCAAGGCAAATATGCCAGCTGCCGAATCAGAGTTTCGGTCGATCGTTGACTTAAGAAACCAAACGAAGCAGATATCTGATCAAGAAAACCCTTACACCAGTGTGACTATAGAGGTTTGTTATTTAAACATTCATTAAACATTATTTAGATATTTCCTAATTATTCTTTAAAATTTGTTATCTTTATGAATATGTGATGCCAATTAGCAGTTTGTTGCATCCTGCAAACTGAAATTAAAATCAGCAAGTTTCCTAGTCTTGGTAACCCTCAAATGACTTTTTTTGTAACAAACAGAAGCCAATAAATTGGTCCCAGAAAAGGCATCACGTATTCTCAAAACCCTGCCACTGCAGAGGTTGCTGCCAACTTATCGCTGTCTGGAAAGTCCCTTGACACACTGGTTGGCAGACCGCAACTAACAACGCTTCAATTTTTATTCACAACTGCTAAAGTGTATTCCAGCATCTACAGAACATAATGCGAAACACAATCTTGCGTAAAGGATTTGACATTGCACTGTCAACTGTACAGCCAAATTGCTTGCAATGTAACTAAATTGGCTTCATTCTTCTAAGATTCATTGAACCAAATCAATGTTCTCACATGCCATTGTAAGTTTCATTGTGCAGCTAATGAAGTATTTGGATTTTGCATTTTGGAAATTTTGTGGCGGGAATTTGTATACATTTAGTAATTCTTGATAATGTAAAGATCAATGAATGACAGAATCTGATCAATGAGAATTAACCAACGTGAGAATTAACCAACGTGAACCACCCTCCAAGAAAGAAAATCTATGAGTTCAAGGCTATATGGCTAGCAAGGGTATTTTTCTCTGGGGCTTACGACGTAATATAAACTGTAACGTGTTTTTCTTACAAATTTATAATTCTTAAAGAGAAATATTGTTGCCATAATAAAATTTTGCAGTCTTAACGCATCAGGCACTGTTGCTATCGTATTTGAGGTGATAAACTGCTTTACAAGGCCCCGTCGACACGTATCCGGATAAGGCTTCCGTTGACACGTATCCGGTTAATCCGGCAGCAGACGAATCCGCAACTTTTTGAATCCGCTCTCCAGAGTGGAAATTTTGGAATACGCTATGAATCCGGAATAGTGTGGCTGCTAAATCCGGATATTTTTTATCTGGTGACGTAACAAGATCGAACCTATAGCTCTTTACTGTCAATACTGTGTTCAAGATGGCAACCTCAACGCATGCTCTGTTTCCAATATTCCCAGAGGAGTCCTGGGTACTAGAGTGAATCCGGATACGTGTGGGGACTTAGGACAAAGGAACCAACGTGTTTTCTGTTTTATTCACAGGAAATCTCCCTAGCTTGGAGTGAAGTTTTAGAGTTGGTTCCAAAGAGAGACGAACTTCTCGCGAATGAAAAGGACCGACAGGAACGTATCCTTTCCAACTTCTGGGGACAAAAACACAGTTCTTCTGAGTTCTCATTCGTTAACGATAATTTCTCCTTAGCAACTCTAACCTGAGGCATACCCTTTTGAAGGCGTTCCCTTTCCTGTCCTTTAAAAAAGCCTCTTACTTAGGCTACAATAACTTAAAGTTTGGTAATGGTCGCAAGTAAACCGTATTTGATTGTAAATCTGTACGTTTGAAAATAATCAAGTTATGGCAACGATTCTGTTTTGTTTATGAAGCAGTTTAATTTGCCAAATATCACCATTTAGCATAACACAAGATGCTGTCATCATTGTGTTACTAGTCGTACTTGAACCTATTTATGCGGCCTTGCTTTGTTTGGGTGAAGCACCCGATCGTGACTTGTTGTTTGCAGTGGGCTGGGATCATTTCTCCTTTCTCTACGTTTGCGATACGACGCCAAATATTCGACAAAATGAATCAGTTTTTACCATAACTAACATAAGGAAATGAAAGACTGAGAGTGGAGTTTGCTAAGAAGGCTAATGAAGTGGGACCATGGATTTCAGCTAACGAAGAAAGATTACGCTCTATCGCTCTGAACATGCAAGGACCTCTGGAGGTAAATAGTTTCTTCAATACTCACTGCCTATTGTAAAAATGAACCTCTTCCTCTGATCCAACTCTCTTGGGGTGACCAAGTGGCATTATTGTAAGTCTTGTGAAGCTCTGATGCAGTAACAATATTGTGGCGCCAACCCTTGACAACAATTAGTCGGCTTATAAGTGGATTGTATCATCGTCTGGGTGAAAGTAGTCTTGAATAGAACTGTTGTCGTTGACAGTGACTGTTGTTTCGACAACCTGTGCGGTAGTCATCTTCATGTGAGTTGTATTCCGTTGTAAGTGTATATACGTTGCAGACGTATCTTTGTCTTTTGTTTATAGAGTCAACTGAATGCTGTACAAGAACTTGAACAAAACGTTGCACAATACAAACCTCAAATAGATGAGCTGGAGTTAGTTCATCAGGTACGTTGTCTCTTTTCTTCCCCAATATAATTACGCGTGTGGCTCGCTTCGTCAATTTATTCGAGCAGGAACTTTTGAGTGGATGTGATTATCAAACTCCCACGAACCAGCAGAATTAATTGAGGCAGTTTGTTCGATTTAGTTCTTTTCTCTATTAAACACGTGATAGTTCATCACCTGGCAGCGAAACTTAGACAATTGGCAACTTGTAGTAACGTTTTGGGTAGTTTTGCTTCATTTTCGTCAAATGCTGAATGGAAAACAGCTCCATCAGCTTCAAGTAGCGTTTTGCGCCAAAGTTTCCGCGGCTGAGTGTGTTAAGGTTAGCGGATACCTTCGGGGTTGTCTCACGTTCGAGTATCCTGTATCAACATTTTCTTTACACCTAAGTACGCCCTTAACCGCTAAAATTGAAAGCGGTTATTTATTAATAATATTATTATTACAGTATTAATAATATTTTTTCTCCAATTTGACTTTTTCTCGTGTTTCTGGACTCAGAGCGTTACTGAAAAATGCTTCGAGGTTCTTACTTATTCGATTTCAACTGGAAACTTACAGAATATTTTGCAGCTACAGTCGACTCCCCATAACTCGAACCATGTTCGAGTTATCGGGAGCTCGAAGAAAATAGCCGGAAGTAAGGAAAAAAACAGTTTTTACTGCACAGTGAACATTTTAATCACATTTAATTGTAGAAATGTTAAGTGAAAATTGAAAGATACTTCTAGATTATAAATCAGAACATAACGTAATAAAACATAGCCTAAATAGAGCATGCGTTTTACTGTTTTGAGAAGTAAAGCTGTTTCACGTTAGATTTGTGACAAACAACATCAGCGTATACTAGTAAACTATATGCCTACAACACGTCAATGGGAGATTCAAAATTCAATGTTTCGGACGTCATAGAGTGTTTTTTTTCCCGACTTTTTAAGGGCTCATAACATGGTTCGAGTTATCGAGGGTAAAATTATATAGAAATGATCTGAGGGAAAACAAAAATTACTTCGAGTTAGCGGGAGATTCGAGTTACCGAGGGTAAAGTTACAGTAAATGTATGACGAAAATCCAGGAGAAATCGATTTTGGTTCGAATTAGCACGAGGTTAGTTAGCGAGGGTTCGAATTATCGTAAGTCAACTGTAGGACTAAAAAACTAACGTGTTCTGCAGAGCAAACTCTTGACAGAAGCGATAAAAAAGAATCCGTGACACGTTTTTGTGTCTCAGATGTTGACTGAACTAACCCCTTTTCAAATTGAAGGCCGAAAACTGCCTTTCGAGAAAACATCTTAAAACCTTAACTTACGGTTAAATTGTAAAAAAATGTCATCATTCACTACTTTTCAGCAATTATTTTTCAGATGAAAGATCATACGCATAGCTTTAATTTGAACGCCGAAAAAAAAAAGTAACCAAAATACAGGTAGCCCATCTTAGTGAAGTTGACTTTTCTTATGTAAATCATGTTCTTCTTATGCTAACTGCAATTTTTCAGTAAGAAAACAGGGAGGTTTGTATCAAAACCAGTTCAAACTTACCTTTTCGAAAATTTCAGCCAGAAAAAAGGCTCCCGAAAATTCTAGGTGACCTTTTAAGGGTAAAAATCCGTTTAAAATGGGCAATTATACCATTTTTTAAATGTTCGAAAATCCTAGGAGAGGCAGGCAAGCAAGAAATTTTACACCAAATGTTCCGAGAATTCTAGATCTCAAATCGTCTTCCGAACAGATATTTTCCGAAAATTGCCGTTGGTTGCCCCTGTTAGGTTTGAAATTAACTTTTGTGTCTCCACAAGACTTGGTTTGGTTGCCCATGAAATATTTCAGTTGTCCAATTCAAGTTCTTAGCGCAGTAAATCCAAACAGGTAATATACTGAGGTAGCTCAAATTATCAACAATTTGATTTAGTTTTTTTTTGTTACAAGAAAACGGAATACCGACGGAGCTAATGAGTCAATTTGGCTGTCTTAATGCGCCTCACTTGTTTCGTGTTTTTTGATCCCGTCAAGGCGAAAATTATCGTTACCTGTTTTGCTCCCAAATGTAGATTTATCTTTCGAAAAAACCGTCTGCAGTAACTTCAAAACATAGCATTTTCTTTCGCGTTTAATTGTAGCCAGGGTCGGGAAGTGCTCCACGACTCTTAAAACATCAAATAACGAGCATTTTTTTGAGCTTTCTAATTCTTGCACCTCTAAATAAAGTCTGTAGAAGTATAATCTCTCTTTGTGGATTCCAAATTGAAGTAACAGATGAAGTTGGCTCATATTTGACAGCTACACAAAAAACACACATAGTGGAAACACAAAGCATACTTCACTACAGTACGTTATGGACTACGTTTGCATACATCAGCTGCTGTTTAATGCACAACAGCTTCTTTCAGGCTAAACGTTAAGTTCGGGAAGCCAGGAGAAAACCTCTTTTTTTCCGCGTTAGTTTTACTTTTAACTAAATTATACGTGTAGGTATCATGAACTCTTCCAAGGCAAAAAGCTGCTGCGATATTTATTCTACTATAGGGACCAATGCTGGCTTAGCACATTGCGTTGTCCTAGGGGCATCTCAGCACAAATTGATTGCCCCATAGATAATTTGTTTTGGTTGTCTAGGACAACCGGACAACTGTTAATTTCGACCTCTGCTACTGTAGTGAAAAAGCAGACATGTTACTGAAGTGAACACAGTAATCATTGAATGAATGAATTGTTAAGCTAACTATTTACGGCGCGTTTTATTTTCAGGATGTTCAAGAAGCTTTAATCTTCGAAAATCGCCACACAGAATACACAATGGAAGTGAGTAAAACTATTATTTGTTTTGTCTTTGGAGAGTTAAATAGAATTTTGGGACCTGAAAACTGATTTTACTTGATTTATCTTTCAGGCTCTTCGGGTGAAGTGGGAGCAACTACTAACTGCTATCGCTAGAAACATCAATGAAATCGAAAATCAGGTAAAAAAAAAAACTAGAAGGATTTGATATGTTTGTCAGCCCGGCTGCATTGCAGGCGTTTTGATAACCTCCATGTTGAATTCTGTGAGGCTTCGAGAAGTTGATGCCCCTACGCCCACCCCAAGGGTACCATTTTCTACCCTCACTATTCCTCTTCAGTGATTAAATCCAGCAAAATGGCGGCCACGGGATCAGGAACATAAACAAGGCTCCACATTTTGCTACCTCCACGTTTTTGGAAAGTTTTGTACTGTATTGAGTCTACAATTTTGATATCTGCCGACAGTTTTAAGACACACAGTTACCGTAATATGTGTATTTATGTAAGAAGAGTTTTCCTTAATTGCGGCCAGATAGTCACGTATGTCACCTCTGTTTTTGTTTTTATGGACGAGAGACACTTGGTGTTTTTAAATAAAAGGTTAATGAAGAGAGGGGCGTATGTGACAATTCGGTTGAAATGAAAGGTTGCTCAGAAGTCGCAAAATTGTTTGCGTGCCTGCCCATTTTGTAGTGGTAAACCTTGGTCGAAGAAGGTAAAGTAAAAGATACCTGGATATCTGCGAAAAGCAGACAGTTCCTTAGAAAGTTTGCTTCGTTGAGAACAATTGGCTTAAAATTTGTTGAACCCAGAAAGTAAATTTGCAGAGACGTGGAATGCTTATTCGAGGAGAGCTCCTCTTTACAGTTTACGGTTATGCACCTATAAACCGTTTGATTATTTTACAGATCCTAACAAGAGATTCAAAAGGCATCTCTGAAGAACAAATGAAGGAATTTCGAACCTCCTTTAACTTTTTTGACAAGGTATGTAAGTACGGGTTTTTGTATAGCCTGCGTAGCAGAGGCTTGAAAGTAATGGTCGCCGGCCTGCCCCGTTCTCTCTCTCTCTCAAGCTTCTGCAACTCAGGTTAGTCTTTATATGGCCTGCTCACAGACCTGTCTTCACTTGAGAGATCATCGAGGGCGTGTATGGCGGTAACAACTGCGGGAATTTATTGACCGCTAGTAATTTAATCTCACTCGATTACCTTGGTCGCATCAAGGCAATCTAAGTTATGGGAGCAATCCGCGACGGCCTTGGGAAAGATGTGCAGCGAGGCTAAATGATGTGGTCACCGCCACCAGGAGAGGAGGGAGGGGTAAAAAGCGCTTCCTGCAGGCAATCCCTTCAAACTGCGAGATTTCACACCACGCTGCCAAATTTTGGCAGAAGACCGCAAAGGATCATAATCGGCCCTCGGATTGCCGAGAACTCTGGGATTGGTAGAACGCAGGCATGTTTCCGAGATGGGTTCGTTATGTATTAGCGTAGAGGGGTGGGGATGGGACTTCGCGCTCGGCAATTAAATCGAAAGAAAACGAAAATACCACACACATGAAATATTTAAACGGGTGAGGATTCTGTGGTGCGATGCTGGACCCCAGGTTTTGCCAGTGCGGACACTGCTAAATTGATTGTTTTTTTTTTTGTGTATGTGTGATACACAAACTGTAAGAAACAATAACAACAACAGCAACAAACAACAAAAATGTATAAATGTATTTTTTTCAGGATGAAAATTCGCGTCTGGAGCCTGGCGAGTTTAAACAGTGCTTGGTCAGTTTAGGATACAATCTAAAGGAAGGAGACAAGGTTTGGCAATGTTTATTATTATTTTTAACTTGTGGTAAGGAACAAGTTATTGTGGGCACTGCGATATGCAAATGCGTCACTCAAGTGTAGACACCGTTCGTAATTAGTCGGCTCCGCACGAAAGCGCCCGATATCGAAACGACAATTGTCTTAGATCGATCGTTCCTGTTCCGCGATCAAGAAGTACTGAGCGTGCATTATGCCCAGAGCTTTTGATGTTATGATTTTGTACCCTTCCATGGGGCGATAAGTTGTCTTCATGTGGACTTTGAATGTTTCAAATTAGCACTATAGCCAACTTTGAGACAGAATAGACTAAGACGTTTACGAACTTTTGAAGCTTTTTGACTCCGGCGATAAACATGACGAATAGATCAGCAATTGCTCTTCGACTCCCAAGCTGGTCTAAGCTCATGATTCTTCCTTAAGTGTCACAATTGTTTAACTTTCCTCACGACAAGACTCCCAATCGCATGGTTTTTAGTGTTGTTCAATAAAAACGGCAATGTTTACTGTTGCTAAATCGTAATTGATTCTCCTCATGTAAACGCCGAGAATTGCATGGCATTTGTCAGCCATATGTTCTTCAAATGCGATGAAATGAGTTAAAGTACGGCTTTCACCGTCAAAACCATGCTTGTTTTCGTCGAATATATCTTTCAATTCTTCATAAATTAAGCCCTGCTAGCTTCAAACAGCGTCCACCGGCAGAATTTCATGGGCAAAAAATGTTAGATATGATTAATTTAACGTAAAGGTGTATAGTTAGCTGTTGTGGCGCAATAGATATCGCGTCGTCTTTACACGCCTAAGGTCTGGGGTCGACCCCTACCGGACGAAATCCTTTCTTTTTTTGTCGTTTTGTTTTGTTTTGTTTCGCTTTTTTAAATACATGTTTTCATTTTTTGGCAGACTTAAATTGCAAGTTAATTATAAGCTTAATTTATTAATTTTAAAAATAATTAATTATTAACCGACAACTTAGCCATAGACAGCCTTTGATTTCCTTCAGAATTTAAGCTTGTTTATTTTTCCTTGAACAATACTGTGAAGTTAATATGGAAAAGCTTGTTTTAAACGACAGTCAGTTACCCTAGCATTAATTTAGGCCGCATCCACACGTATCAGGGTAGGCTGAAACCGCATATTTGATATTTGCGTCAACACGAACTCAGTGTTGTGTATCAAAGCATCCACACGAATACGGTACTGCGCTTTACATTTAATAACTACTACCCATCAGGCATGCGCAAATCGGTTTGCGATGTGATCTCACTGGCCTTATATCGTTCCTCGTTCTAGCCAGCTTTTAGCCAATATTTCACACGTCTCAAGCAAGAAAGTGAAGGGGAAATAACTAGGCAAAGGCCAATTCATTCGTCTGGAGCGGCGATAAAGCGGAACCCTTACTAAAAAGCTAAAACCAGCGACTACAAGACATCGTAGCCAATGGAAAACGTCCTCGACTGGCAATCGCTTCAATGCAAATATTCTGATAAACTGGAACTGTTCAAAGAACAGTATCCAAGTAAACGGAAGGTATTGATTCGCTGTTTAAAATTTGCAAGTTCCCATTTAAGCCTGGACCCGAGTTTATGACGTAGGTTTTAAAAAATATCCGGTTTCAGTCGTCTACACGAATTCGCCAAACCCGTCGGATCCAAGAAAATCCACTCTGGGGAGAGGTTTTAAAAAGATGCGGTTTCTGCGAGAGGATTCACTGGCCTCGTGTGGACTGAATGTCGATTCGTATTAAAAAAAGGTATGCGGTCTCAAAAATATCCAGATTTGTGTGGACGGGACCTTGATGTTGTCATGTTCTAGTTTGGTGATTTTTTTTTCTTTTAGTAGAAGTCGTTTTAGTCTCCCCAATTAGTAAGGCACTGTGCCTGAGCTATAAGACATGAGACTTTAATAAAGTTGATTATTATTATTATTTATTTGTTGGGAAAACCGCCCTGAATTCTACCGCACCCTTCTAGAGAAAAGAGAGCTCCATGCAAAGAGTCAGGTTATTTGAAATAATCAAAGTATTCTCATGGACGAAAATTACAGTAATTGGTCAAATCCTTGATTCAAAAAAGAGGTCCATATCAACGGGTCTTATTATTTTGTCACTCGCTTGACTGGATAATAAACTCGATCTGGAATGCTAAACGAAACAAGATCGATAACAGAATAAGATACTGGTAAATGCCCTCTTGAGGAAAATGAAGTTAGTCACTGACTCTCTTGTCGATGCGACTTGCAATGAGTCATCCATATTTTGGAGTCGCTTAACCTACGTGTCTATCACATTTTCGCAACAAGTGTGGACATCTAGTGCTCTTTCATTACTCTCTTTTGCGTTTGAAAGACATGAATTATTAACGTCAAGAGCGGTTGAAAACAAAAATTGAATAAATTTTGTATAATTTTACTCTGCTGCGCTTTAGCTGATTGTGCGCGGCACATGTGTGTTTTAGTGTTTGTTTCTTTATTTAATTTTCTTTCTTTTTCTGTAAAAATTTCTTTTTTATTATTTTTATTTACGTATTTTTATTTTATTTTAATGAAAAATTACGTGACCATTACAGATAGTAAGTACAAAGTTAACATTAAAATACTTCGACAATGAATCGAAGGGGAAAAGATAATCACAAAAAAAACTCTTGCTTTTTGATATTTACGTTTTGAGTTGCTAATTTTGTTCGTAATCAGGAAGTGGTACAAAGATCTAAAAAAGAAATATGTCAGGCATTTAAAAATTTGTCTTTCCATCGTAGGGAGAGGAAGAGTTTCAGCGTCTTATGACTATTGTGGATCCAAACAATACAGGAACTGTGACTTTTCAAGCATTTGTTGATTTTATGACCCGAGAAACTGCCGACACTGATACCGCTGATCAAGTGATGGAGTCCTTCAAGATCCTTGCTGGGGACAAGGTAATACCACTGACTCGAAAATGCGAACTAGCTTGAATTTCAGCTGTGTGACTCCCGAGTCGCTTGCTCTCTTGTGAGGCGTCTGAAAGCCCTAGGCGTCAATGCCTTCCAGTGACGTCACTACCTCAAAACCGGGCGGTAATTTCGATTGGCTGAAGATTGTCGAAAGATTCTCATAATTATATGTAGTTATGAGCAATTTTAGTGCTTGCGCGGACAGGAGTCAGTGTGAAGTTCAAAATTTCCATAATCTTTATCGTTAACAGCCGAATGAACTTTTCCATCTCGTGTCTTTTCAACTGTAACTTGTTAAATTGAACTTCAAATGAAGAATCAATGTAGAAAGTCGGTGGGTTTTCAGTAAGAGCATTCTTCTCTAGGAAGGGGTTGTGAATAGAGCCGGAGACGCACTGTGTCTCTTCTGATGTGTTGTCCGCTGGACAGGTGTCGGTAGACCGCGACTAGTGAAAAACGCAAGGTTATTACGAACCATTTTCTCGCTCAAACAAACTGAGCGCAGCCTCTTATCCTTCAATCACCCCGGTTATTACCAATGACAAATTACTACTTTGTAGAGCTCCCAAATGTTTTCTTCTCTTCTTTAACTGCTGGTAAGACAGACTTACCAGAGGACTTAATCCCTAAAACAGTAAATTCAAAGTGCTTAAATGACCGTTCAAGCGATATGTGAAATCCAGTATGCCCTAGTTGTTTAATACTGGATACCAGATCTCTATCCTGTAGATAACCCAATTTTAATACTAATCTGTTGATATTGATGTATCCGTCAGGTATCGCTATCCAACGTTTGATTGATAGTCATATGTAGTGTTATTTGTGTTACCCAAATTCCAGAAAGGATTAGTCTTCCCCGTATAAACCACTAACTTTTGATGGCCTAACCATGGTTTGGTTTATACGTTCCCCAACTCTCGCACGTTTCTCTTGACGCCCGGAACTCAGACAGTAGAGTTAAATGATTTGCTGCTGTTAGTGCAGGACATGTGCCAGTAGGGCGGATAACATCCTCCTTATGCTCATGTTGTTTTTGTTTTTTCCTTTAGCCGTACATCACCGTGGACGAGTTACGGCGCGAGTTACCACCCGATCAAGCTGAATATTGTATTGCAAGAATGGCACCTTATGAAGGGCCTGACTCAGTCCCAGGTGCTTTGGATTACATGTCCTTCTCCACTGCTCTTTACGGAGAGAGTGATTTGTAACGCTAATTAGAATCTGATATATATCGCTTTTATACAAATATACCTTACTATAGGGGAGAGTTTCTTTGCGCGACCTAGGTAGCAAGTAGATTGTAATATGTGGACACGATTGGTCTTTGTAGCTTTTTCTCTGTTTGTGTGTGAGTACAAGGCAAAATGTTCAACTGTTTTATGAAACCGGTTTGGTTGAAGTAAGAAACACCAGATTGATTCATACTCTAATCTGACATTGATTATGATTGCTGGTGGTTTTCTTAATACAAGAACATTGAACAACTTTCCAGTTTCCGCGCTGATTCTCGGAAACGTTTCAATTTTTTTTTTCAGCTACTGAAGCGTAGAAAGTGTCATTTTGCTAACTAGTATAATGATAGTATTTTGTATTTCCCTATCCTTCACTGGCTGGGCTCAGCTGCTTGCCAGTGGGCATCTCTTACATTTGAAAACGTCTCCAGAACGGCCACTTTTACACCATTATGCACTCGATCATCCTAGCAAGTATTTAGATTTTCAAAACTGAGAAGTTTTTTTTTCTCAAAGGTACCGGCCGTCTGACTAAATTAACACGCATGCCATATTATGAAGTAGTTTTCGGCTGTTAGTAACTAGAGTGTCACCTCCCCTTCAGACAACGCTTTTTATGCAGCATAAACAAATCAATCCGCTTATCAGTGTGGTACCATAGGCCGGGCTCATTACCTTAAAAATGCCCCACTTGTTCAAACGTCGGACAGTGCTATTCACTGGATAAATCTCAGCTATCCTGTGGATGACGCAATTACTTTGCCTAATACTTATCACGATACAGTGGATAATACCATCCAACGTTTGAACAACCGGGGCCTGGCCTTAAAGCGGACGGAAAATTTGTTACCTTATGGATCACGATCATTTTAAAAGTAAAATTAGCCGTCCTACATTTATCCTCACAGTTGCATGTAGGGATTATAATGGAACAGAATTTTATTCCGGTTTAAAAAGGCTTTATGTATAGAACAGTTCTAATAACAAAAGATTATTTTTCTTGTCTGTAATTCATATGAAATCAGTTGTACTGTAGTAACATAAAGACATGTAAGAACAGCCAAAAGTACTTAGGGTAAATAAAATAACCAAATCATTGATCATTAGTGTAGTCCCCTATTCGTGTTGTTGCAATTGCTGGTGGTCTTTACTACGGTGAAGTACCAACTCAGTTACAAGTTTCAGAGGCCGCCTACCACGACCTAATTGTGTAGTGAGTGTCGGCAGATAAATTCACCGAAAACCGTCCTTCACGTGCTGAATTATTGCCCTCTTTACTTAAGGCGTGATTCCCGTTTCTCCAACGCTATCTCGCAGGTCAGGTAACTTCTCGCGACAGGAACCAAATTAAAAAAACCAACAAACAAACAAATCCGAGGAGGAAAAGCGCGGGTCTTAGCTAAAAAGCCATCCCTTTACTTTTGTTAACTGACAGTTTTATCATGTTAGCTGCAAAACTATTGAAACCTCTATAATGTAGATAATGTTATCACAGCAGCTTTCCGGAAACTTTGAAGAATCGGGCCCCTGGTTAGCCCGTGGCCGGTCTGGGACGGAGCCATTAGAGGCCGCTTTATTGGCAGGCTAGTCCTTGGTCCGGTTTTCCAATCTCCGAAAGCAACAAATGTAACAATCTATTTAGCCTGGTAAGCCCAAATCTCGGTTTCGTTGAAACGTTTTCCCTGTAATCGCGTTAAGGGGGAAGAACAAAAAGCTTTAAATTTTGTTTACGAGCAAAATGAGTCGCCGATAAATATTCATAGTCCTCTTTCTATGAAGTGTGTAGAGGTATGACAGGCCATGGAACTGGATTTTAGCAAGCAGTTTTATAAGAGAAAGTTGTTGTAACATTTAGCCTTTTCAACGGGCGCCTTGGTAAGCGTCCTTTTTTTCTCCTGTTCTCCACCCTTTGCACACTGGAGTCTGTCCACGGGTTCTTTATACCTTAGGTAATTTTGTACAAATTATGACCCTTCAGACAATGGCATACTACATTTTCATTGTTGAATTTCCCGCAAAGCTCTCAATGTTTCAGCACAGGTCTTAAGGAGTTCACAGAGCTGCTGACATTCTCCTGTAGAGTGAGCACTACTGAGTGCTTGACTTGCCCACAACATTTTCTCGTTAACAGCGTGCACGGCTGTGTGTACAGCATTCTGGCTTGTAGGTGATTTTACCACGGAAATCAGTTCAGAGTGCTGCTGTGGATGGGACGCACTTGCCGATCCAACAGGACGACTCACTACAGAAAGGAAAAACAGAAATGACCACCGTGTTGAACCCTTCAACGCATCTAAAGCATTAATATGTATACATTGCCAGATGAAAGCGCCATTTATCACAATCATTACGAATCATGTAATGAGAAGTTGGATCAATTTAGGTTTCTGGGAAACTGCCCACCTACCCTTCCCCTAAGTTAACATGATCTCGTACTTCTTAATTTGGGCAAAATGTCGGCTTAGGGGAGGGGTAGGAAGGCAGTTTTCCCGACCTAAATTGATCCGAGAAGTTCAATGACCAACCTCGTTCCCAGGGTTCTCTCGCCCTAAGGAGCGGGTAGGAAAGAACCCTGGGAAGGAGGTTGTTCAATGACTGACCTCCATGCAGTGTAACGAAGCAAAACATTTCTTTGATCATAGAAATTGAAACAATAATTCATATCTGTTTGGACACTATTAGCTCTTATTACCCAAACACGCTGGAAGCACACTCGAGTTTCCTGATTAACTAACTGACCCTTCCTAATGGCACCTACTTGGAAAAACAGTGTTATCCACGGGAAAAAATTGTAAAACTTTACAGACATGACATACAATACTAACGCACTCAGATAATGTAACAAAAACAATATCAGAGCTACTGGTAAGTATGGAACTGCAAGTACCTGGTGCAGCTGGGGCGTCGACTTCCTTACAAGCAACACAGTAATCTTCCTGGTCACGGTACTTTAAAAGAACATTCTATGGAACTCAAAAATAGACCGGATTAGTTAGAAGAATAGACTAAGACTCCTTAACACAAGTGCAAGATTTTGATGATAGGGTCAGGCTGATTGGTCAGGAGCTATGGTCCATGAGAGCTGTATGGAACAGGGAAATGACGCAATGATGGCGTCTGTCTCTCGTGCGCGATTTTCCAAGGAAGTTCATGGCTCGTGGTTTACCTGTTTCCACTTGAGTTCGTAATAGTTTGTCGTATTGAAAAGGTTTTTATTTAAGGTTATTTTCCGTAGAAAATTCTGCCATAACATGAAACAGCAATCTTGAATAGAGCTTACATGCGTTTAAAACAATTCACTCGGTAACCCCGGGGGTCGGTAACCTAGCATTTATGAACTACAAACGGGTAATACTACCGAGTTTTGAAAACTTATAGAAACGTTTATCTACTCTAGATAAGATAATCTCTTTTAAGTACATAAGTTTATGACTATTGTTAGCCTTGGCGGTTCTACAAAGAGCCGTTGGTTTTTTGTTTTATTTCGTACCCACAGTGTGCAATATCGGACTTAGGACGGAAAATACAGGGCCGAGTTGTTCAAAACCGGGTTAACATAACCCAGGGTTAGTACAAAATTTGAATTCAGATATGAAAGCTTAAAAAGCAAATTCAGTTTAATTCTTTTTTCTACAATTTCTACTAATTTATGAGATTTATCTTATCTCTTTTAAAAGGCTCTTTTGCGAAAACTACTTTTCTTTAAGAAACCCGGGTTAAAATTTAACCATGGGTTAGCGCTAACCGGCCTTCAAACAACTCGGCCCAGGATTTCTTCAGCGAAAAGCAATACAATTAAACGCAATCAAAATAGCAATGGTCGCAAGCTTATAATATTTTTAACTGATTGGTTTTATCTCATGAGATTGTAGATCGCCTACGGACTCCTTTTGTAGGTTGTAAACAGTATGTAGTATTTCATATAGCTCAGTATTGGACGATAAGCTCTATAAACATCTTGAAGCGAAGAAACAAAAGGGTTGTCGGCGAAACTCCAGGGCAAAAACAGACTAATTGTTACTTAATATGATAATAGGATCCTGCATAAGAAGGCTTACAGGACCAGGGAGATGGCCTGGATTGATTTCAAGAAGGCCTTCGACATGGTCCCTGACTCATGGCTCATTATTAAAATGCTTAGATCTCTTTGGGGCTGGGAAATTGAGCTGGCAGCTTGAGGGAAAAGTTTTAGGCAAGGTAAAAGTCGAGGGATGAATCTTTCAGGGAGAAAGCCTGTCACCTCTTTTCATCGTGGCATTGATCCCTCTGACCACCTAACTTAAGTGTTGAGGAAAACGAAGGCTAGATACGACCTTGGAAAAGGGAACGACATTAGTAGCCATCTATTATAGATAGGTAACTAAAATTTGTACGGCAAAAATGAGAATCATATAGAGAGTCAGGTAAAGTCGGTCAGAGTAATCAGCACCCATAAGTGCATGGAGTTCGGTATCAATAAATGGTCAACCCTAATGATGAAACGAAGAAAGATCATTCAAATTGAAGGCATTGAATTACCACAGTTACCAGACATCAGGTATAACGATTATTTTATAGATCACTGGACAGTGAAGGCTACAATGTCTCGGGATAATAGAAATACATGGCACAAAGCGATCAGAGATGAAAGAGATCAGGGGCGTAGAGAAAGAATATCACTGTAGAGTCAGGATGATCCTGAAGTCAAAGCTAAACGGAGGATTTACAGCCATCGACAAAAGGGCGGTCTCGATTCTGAGATATGGTGCGCAAATCATCAGCTGGACCAATAACGAACTTCAGGAAATGAACAGAAAGACACGGAAGCTCCTGACACTGAATCTATGTTGTCTAGAAAGGAAAGAGAGGAAGAGGACTGTTAAGCCGTGAAGACAGTGCCGCAGACAGAAATCGAGGCCGGCTCACTACCAACTCAGTAACTAAGTTGATAGCAGCCAAGAAAAGGTTATGGAATCAGTAACACGAGAGAATGTGCTTAAAAGGAGTCAAGATTTAAAGGGTATCGATGCTACTAGGGAAGCCCCTCCATGGTCAGTTTTTAAGGGGCAGAGTGGATACTGAAGAACAACATAAACGGAGATGGCTATTTAGGGGTCAGTTAAAGGAGATAGAAGGATTGATTACTCAAGAATGAACAGTAAAAATCACTCATGGATAATCAGAACATGCTACCGATATGTAAAGTTATCTGGGGAGAGAGAGAGAGGAGACTGTAGGTCATATAGTAGCAAAGTGTAAGATGCTGATCCACAAACAGCATCGTCTATGGAGACACAACAAAGTGGCACTTTTCACTCAGTGGAAGCTCTGTAAGAGATTTGGATCTGAAAGATGTGACGGAAGGTTTTTCCACTTTGAAACGAATTTAAGGCTCAACTGAAACTCGGTGCTTGACTCACGATAAAACTGGGGAAAACTAGACTCAAATGGCAACTCGCTTGCGGGGAAGAGCCGTCACTTCTCTGAAGGACCGGGATCTGACCACTAACTGGTACAGCAGTAGATAAAACAGAACTAAACTTGGTTCCAACAGCGTTTATTCTTCAGCGGAACAAACAGCAATAACTCGGCTAGGACACGGCGAAATAATCGTTGATGTGATCGAAAAATCAGTTCAAAGCAACTTACTTATATATGATTTTTACGACCATTGAAGATAAAAGAATACAATAGGAATATAAACAGAAATCTCTGAGAGTTAAATGAAAACTAAATACAAATTCTATTTTTAACCTGGAATCTTTTGTTACTATTCCTATTTTAGAAAGTAAAAGTACTGAGACAAAGACCTAGCCAGGTCAGTAAAACAGCTTTATGTACAAAGTATTACAATATGAATTAAATTGCAAATTCAGCTATCGATTGTTTTAAACAGGAAAAGCTTAGACTAATTAGAAGTTTTCACCTTAAGCAAAAACCGATCTAATTTTAAAATTACAAGACAGCAAAACCTTTCATATTCACAATTCGGTTATCACCTCTCTTCAACTAACAACTTAATGAAATATATTTTCGCAAATAAATATAACTAAATTGCAATTAAAACGAGATGCAACTGCACGAAAGGCGTTTCTATGAATACATGTTGTCCAGTAGTGAAAATCACGAAAAATATACTAAAGTCAAATAAACCATTATTAAGAAATTAAGTATTCTTTCAAGAGTAACATAATTTGATGTAAAATGTATATAATTGAAAAGAGAACGAGCAATTAGTTTTGTTTGTTGAGGAACCTGTTGGTTTTTCTATGATTATTACCTAGCGAACACAAAGCAAATGAAAGAAAGGACAATAAAATGGCACGAGCCTTTTTGCGGAGTTAAAACCTCTTTATGCAAATCAGAGTTCAGCATGAATTACTAAGAACAATGTCAATGCGAATATTCGAAAGCTATATATGATATTCGAAGCAAATAAAGAATTCATGGAAAATCTCTCCTTACAAAGAGGGGCAAAATGGTATGATCACAAACCTCAGCCCATGCTGGAATCTGAAGTGGTCAAGATGTTGTGGGATTTTCAGACTTGACTAACATCGAATAAAGAAACCAGACACTGTCGTCCTTGATAAGCAGTCACGATCATGCCTGATAATACATAACCAGCCCAATCGATACCAGGGTTAAAGAAAGGAACAAGAGTAGGTGCAGGGCTGTCACGGGTATATGCAGTTAGACGACAGTGAATTGAATGGTTAGCAAATTCTTTTGGTTCTATTTTCCTTTTGCTTCCTATATGAAAGTAGACAGGGGTCATGCTCATAGTAAGTGGGGGGAAATCCCCAGCCCCTGGCCCTTAGTAACAGCCCTAACCCTTATCAATTGTCATTGGAGCTCTGGGGACAGTACCAGTGCAACTTATCAAAGGTCTTAAGGCCTCTGAAATGTCATGTGCATTAGGTCTGTTACAGAAAGCGTGTCTGTTAGGCTCTGCAAGAATACTGAGGAAAATATTGGACACTCAGGGAGGTTTAATATGAAAGAGGAAAAGGTTTAAGTCAGGGAATGTTCAACAAAAAATAATGAACAAAAGTGCTGTCTTGTGGTTTGACTTCTCCAAACACTTTGGGCCTCAGTGGACCTTTATCAGTGGAGTTACAAGTACGTTAGAAACGTTGCAAGGTTTGCATACATGCTTGAAAGAAAAAATAAACACTCAAAAAACTTTGTAGTACGTGGGCGGCTTTGTGCGCAGCCTAGAAGGGGATGACTTGTGCCAAGCTGAAAAATCAGGTGCTTCTCCAGGCACTTCTGTTGTGTGTTTTCCCTGCAGAGCATGATAGGCAGCTTAAGCAACCAAGATGGTGACAACAACAAGTGAATTTGTGCTACTTGAAACTTTATCGCACTTATTCCAACTTGTTCAATTCGTAAAATGTTGGCAAAATTTTTCTGGAGTTGAATTCTAAAAGACTGTATCAAAGTTCAGGAAGAGAAAAAGAAAGTCGTTGTCTTGTGTTCACGTCCTCGACACAACGTGAAATTAGGGACTTTCATTTTGTAGCCATGCTGTGACAGCAAAGAAATGTACAAAAAACAGTGACGCACGTGCAAAGTTGTTTCCCAAATGTAGACGGAGGGGAAATGGCGACAGGAGATGCGATAAACCAAGCCAGAGGTTTGGCAAAGAAAACGCCTTCTTAGTGACAAAAGAGACAAAGAATACGCCTTCTTAATGCGAAAAGGGTAAAAGCCGGCAGTCTGGACACCTTAGGTCACAGCAAGTGACCAGATACCCACATAGACTTCCAGCTTCTAGCTTCTAGCTTACAGTGACCACGTTGTAAATAATAATGATAATAATAATAATTATTATTATTTTATGTCAACATATCCAGGTGAGTGGCTCTTCATCTGAAAATTTGATCAACTACCACTGAGCCTCTGTATAGGTACCTATAGAAGTCTGTTTTATCGCACATTTTCCATCAAATCTTTAACTATTTGGGGCAAAATCATTGCTATCAAGAATTGTTTTGTTTGGTTATGCTACTAGCGAGCTCAATGCAACCACAACGACAATGGAAACGAGAAAATAAGGAAAACAAACAATGTGCGGCACACTTTTTGGCATGTTTCCTTGCATGGTTAACATTGTCAAACTTGATTTAAATCTTAATACCAATGCAATCATCACTTATCTTAACAAAAATCTCTTAGCTCGTCGCTTCATCAATGGTTATCCTCTTGACTATAATTTTATCAGAAATACCCATACAGAGGGTCATCGGTACCAGAGTAGTTCTTCCACAAACCCAGTAAAACATGCAAGCCTCTAACTCAGCAAGATGTACACATCTTATGTTGAAAGAAACATTACATGTAGCTCGTACTAGAATTAAACTGGCAGGTAACTGAAGCCTCAGTTCTGATCCTGAGGTAGGGTTGACCCAAGCAAACCAAGGCCTGGATACCAGGTGCCCGGCCAACAGAGACTGATGAGCAAAGGAACAAGGACCATGTTTCCAAGTGAGTGAACAGTACAATGAGTTGATTGCTAATCAAAAAAGTGAGGGGTCAGAGGAAATGTTGCAAGGAAGTCAGACTTACAAGATGCAGGAGCTCGAGTGAAAGTTATGTTTAAAGTAACATCATGCCAGGTACAGTCTGTTAGTGAGAAAACACTTTGTCAGAATAGAGTATAATTTTGTAGCACCAAGAAATAATTTAACCTGAAAGCATTTAATGAGCAACCATACTTCTAGAATAAGGTGATCCGAGTGCTACAAATCAGATTACAAAGTAGTCCACTGTAGTTGATTGAGCCAATTAACAAGTGGCTAGTTCTACAAGAGGCAAGAGGTTCCCTGCTCGGAACATACATGTTCAATAAAAAGGCCATAGTACTAGAAGGATGTTAGGGCCTACCTGTTTAAGATAATTAGCAATTTTTATTTAAAAAACAACAACAACAACAACAACAACAACAACAACAACAAAACAAGAAAGGACAAATGTGACTGTGATGCACTTGATTGAGCAATCAAAAAACTCATAAAGCAAGGTTTCTTGATCTTGCCTACCAGCTAAGAACATCATAAATAAGAATAAATAAATTGTAAAGAGTTGTCAGACAAAGCCAAAAAAGTTCAGTATGCTATTTTGACAATGATGCTTACCCCACAGACTTCACATGTTGAGCCTAACATTCGGTAACCCTTCAACATGTACTGTCCCATTAATGCACTGATCCTGTCACTTCTTTCACGGCTTTTGTTGTATTTCTCCTGCGTTATTTTGTCCATATTATTGCTTGGCTTTTCCACGGTCCACACGACTTTAGAATACGTTTCGTCTCCCATACACGACATATCCACTATGGGTCGACTAGTTCTAGTCCCCCAGCGATTTTTGGCGCGCGACAGAGAACTTCTAACTGCTACAAAGCTACTTCCACTTCTGGGCATACGAGCAGATCTCTTGGAGCACAAGAATTATGGCTAGCCCTTGGACAAGACCGGCATTTAAAGGAAATGGCCTGAATTCCAGTCCTTTTAGGCCGCGTCAGTCCTTAAATTATTCTTCATTTCTTGGAGATTCAGCTAAGAGGTTTGTAGGAATGTATAAAGCACAACGGCTTTTACTTCGGGTAGAAGAGCACAGAACGCGTCATCAGAATGGAATGGGCAAAAGAGAAACATTATCGTTAAGAGGCAGTCTCCCTAAAAGCGGTCCACTCGACTTCGCGACCAAAAATAGTTTTCCTTTATTTTTTGTTGGTGAAGAGGCTTTAGTAGGTATATACTAAAATCGCTATTTTTGTTTTCAAATTCTTTTCCTTACCGCTGCTACAAGCCAAAAACAAGTTGAGTCCGTCTCGGCCTCTCAGCGAGTGTTTGAAAGACTAAAATTGATGGATTTTGAGAGGCGCGCTGCAAACAAACGACTGCCTGCACAAAAAAACTGTTCAATCCACTTTTTCAAGTTAACCTTGAATAGCTCACAGATAAAATATAGACATCTTTGATAAAAAACTGAACAAGCTAGAACAGTTCAAAGACGACCTATTCTGCTCGCATTATCGAAACGTTGAAAGTAAGCAAGCTTTGAGGGAGAATATCTCGAAAGTTGCGGCCTAAATCAAGCATAAAAAACACATTAAAGTAATGTTTTAAGTATATTTTACCGTTTCATGGGTTAAAACGTGCGGGTATCCCTTGAGATCACAAAGCGATAAGAGATTAAAATCAGCAAATAATGCGTGTTTGCATAGTTATCGGCCGTGTCAGAGGTCGCGATCATATGACTTTTAAAATTTACAAAGTGTTTGTTTTGGGGCATTATTTCGCCTGGATTGACACCAATGAATCGAAAAAGGCATTGGAAATGCTTGTATTTAAAACTAAAACCAGAACGTATTTTTAGATTGTACCATGTTAAATTATTTCATGAGCGGGTATAAATGGACAAAGTAAACAACGGCTGCTCTTTCTTGTGTGTATGAGAAGTTCATTACTGTTTTGTTGTCCTTTATATTTCGTTCTTTCAGATAATGTCAGGCTAATCTAAAAGGGAAAAACAGAAGTAAAAAATAACTTTAAATAGCGTTTTTCCTTTCTTGAACTTGCGAAAGTCAAACTATCGCAAGCAGCAAATTACTGACCGGAGATAATCGCTTAATTGAAAAATTACTACTGAGCTGCAACAAAGAAACATTACTGTATTTCGCGAAGAAGGACATAATATACGTTTTTGAAACCGAATCTCATGAAGACTTGGAGCTTTTATCGTTTTTATGTGGAAAAATTCATGAGAGGTACTTACGTATTTTTAATACGTAGATCAGCAACAAGCAGCTTGGCACTTCGGTATTTTAATTGATAAGGCCGTCAAAATGTCAATAAGTCAGGGCAGGTCGCACGCACGCCAAGTGATGTTTCTTATGAGACGAATATCTCTGTTTTTCAAGTTTCTTAATTTACTATCTGAAAGATTGTGTACAGTCAAGGCCAAATAATAAATAAAATTCCATATCGCAACAAGTACATGTACATGGGCTGAACTGTAAGTATAATGACTTTCTGGAATTTGGATCTGGACGTTTGGATTAAATATGTTACAAGAGAAAAGAACGTGACGTGGCTTCAGATCAGAGCTACTGCAAGAAACAATTTTTCTTGGCCGAAAATCACTTTCTGTAAATCATATATTGACAGAAATCACTTCTCCTTCAAAAACGAAAGTTTCCCGAGGAGACTTTGACCCTTTTAGCCTCTCTTTTAAATTTTATAGGCAAAGGTCCTTTTATGAATTCAGTTCCGGATCCATTTTCAATTCCCTGTTCTATCATTTCCTTTACAAACATTCGAAAAGACTGACAACAAACGCGTAATAAAGAAGAAGTTACGTTTGTGAAAGATGGCTGCATGCTTCATGAAAACCAAAGACAGCTCTGGGTGTGGAGAATTCAGAGGACAGAAATCACTAACATCGCTGCTGGAATGTACCTCTGATATTTCCTGCCACCTAAGGCGCTGCCATCTTTCAAGGGAAAATATTTCCGAGTACCAGCTAATTTTGAATCGAGCGGGCCAATTTCATCTAAGCGAAGGAAACATTGCAGAAATGTCCGTGTGTCCTCGGCACCGAGGAAAATTGGGAGCATACTGGAAATGCTCAACAACTGCTTGCCAGTACCCTGATCACAAGGGAAAACAAGAAGCGGTAAAAGGAGACCGAGTTTTCAACGTCCAGATGGCAAGAAATATATTTCAAGTTTTCGGAGTTACCATTCCAATTGGATCACGTAAGCAATTTTCTGTGATATAGAATAACTTTTAATTAACTTTTATGCAGACGAAAAAGGTACTAAATATGAAGATGAAACAACGTGTAGTCACATTATCAGTTTGATATGTTCCTTCTGTTTGCTGTTGTGATAAGGCGATTTATGTTTTGGAGTACAAAGTAACGCTTCTTTCCCGGTAACCGGGGTGAGGGGTTGGGGGATTTCAAGGTAACGGAATCTTGAGTTGTTTTGCAACCTCGTTCCCAGGTCTCTCTTCTTCTCTAATCGTCCTTTCCCGAGGTTGTTTTAGGTTTTTATTAACAGCAACTGCCTTTCACCACTTAAAAAATGTAGAGGGTTAAGAGCACAAACCTCTACTTCTAGTGACCTAGTTTCATACATCTTTGTGTTTGATGTAAGCAAAAGAAATTAAATAGCATAAAACAAGCAACCACAATATTGTCTGTTAGGGAAGAGTCTGTGGCAACCCTTGTCACTCTTTCTCTGCATTTTTTTAGCTATCTGTAACAGTTGTAGAAAGCTTCATGCTAGCAGACTTAAGACTGAATGGCCTTGGCTGAGAGAAACGAAAAGTACTGAAACGGAAGATACCTCAGATACCATGGAAGAAACCGAACCAAACTTATCAAGGTATTGATTTCTGACGATTTCTTGTGTACTCTTCCTTTAATAAAAACAACTCTTAGAACGCGAAGAGGAAGTATGACAAACTCTAGGAAAGTAAAAATGTCCTTGAATATAAAAGATTGGCTGCTCAAAGCTCAGTTAATTTTTGTTTAGATACTTACTGTACATTCATTCTCTGTAAGAAAAAAAAAATACAATTTGCTTTTGACTTATTTGTCTGTTGAATTCCCTCTATAGAAAAACCAAAGAAGAAGCACTTGTTTCTATTAAGAGTTGCATTTACACCCCAGTACCAGAAAGTCATACTAAGAATGATCCTGCCTGGTCTCTTGGACGATGGCAAGCGATGAATTCTGACAGTTCGTTCGATGATGAGTCCCCTGAAAACGAATCTGATGTTCTTCAAGTATACAATGAGGCACTCAGTAACATTGCCTCGCTTTCGGGAAAAACTGTGGAGCCCCTGACTTTCCGACTTAACTCCGAGTGGGAGGAGGCGACTAAGAAAGAAAAAGAACTTTGCATAGAGCAGGTGAACGAAGCATGTCGTGCTGTTTGTGACGTCATTGCTCCAAAGGACAGTGATAAGCTGTTACGATCATTTCAAGAATCAAGAAGGGAAGTAGGTTTGTCTAGCGACCTCAAAGCACTAGTAACTGCATATCAGCAAGCACCATCAAGGAGCCTTAAAATCCAGATACTCAGCATCTATGCTACTCGTTTCCCAGCCCAATACTTGAAGAAAATACACGAACCATTTGAAAAGCTTAGCGACCGACAGATAAAAAGAGCAAGATCGCACGCCAAAATTGTTGGAGTTGGACTGTCCGTTGAGAAACCGCTGCGCCACCGGGTGAAAATTGATTTGGTGAAGTTGGATCACTTTCTGTCTTTTGTCAACCAGCCGTACTTCTACCAAGACGTGGCTTATGGAACCAGGACGCTGAAGCTAGATTCAGGAGAAGAGTTACTTATGCCAAATGTTATCAGAATTGTTGCGAGGTCAACGATGATAGAGCAGTATTTAAAGCATTGCAGCGAAGATCACTTTGAGCCTCTTTCGAGATCGACGCTGTTTAGAATATTACAAGTCAGAGAAGCTTCCCAAAGAAAATCACTTCAAGGACTGGATAACATAGCTGCAGGAGGCGCTGAAGCGTTTGAAAGTGTGCGCAAGATAGTAGATGGCTTGAAAAACTGCGGCGCAAGTGGAACTTGGTGCGATGAAGTGCAAAATAAACTTAAAAGTGGAAAGCGCTACCTCAAGACAGAATATAGAGTGCATTGCCGTGAAGAAGAAAGCTTATGTGCTGATCACTGCAGATACTTTGCTCTTAGTGACTTACAAGATCCAGAACTCAGCGAACATTGTCCGCATCAACATCAAGTGCGCTGTATCGAGTGTGAGCAACTGAAAGTAACATTAAAGTCCATCGCTGATGAGATTGAGTCGCCTTCCATTAACTATTATAGCGGTGAACAGAAAGACGACTTCAAGCATGACCTTGCCCAAGCCCAAGAAATGATTTTTCAATGGAAGTCTCACATTTTAAGAGCAGAGAACCAAGAGCGGGCAAAGCAAGATGTACTAAAATCTCTCCAGGATAACTCGGTAATGGTCGTAATGGATTGGGCCATGAAATTCTTACAGATAAAATATCGAGAAAAGCAATCCGAGTGGTTCGGTAAGAGAGGAATCAACTGGCATGTCAGTTGCGTTATTTCGAAGAATACAGCAGATGACAGCCTCCAGGTTCAGTCATACGTCCATTTATTCGATAGCTGTGCACAGGACTGGTACACCGTTTGCTCAATTTTGGAGCATCTTCTCACAATCATCAAGGAAAAGAAGCCAGAAGTCAATCAAGCCTTCTTGCGCTCGGACGGAGCGGGCTGCTACCACAACAACAGTCTAATTGCTGCTGTCCACGACCTTGGTGTTCGAGTAGGAGTAAAAGTTATGAGGTAAACGAAGAGGTTGTCTTATGGTAAAATATAAAAATAAATTACAGTTCACCCTAAAACTGAGTCAAAGCATGCAGCCAGTTTCAAACTTCTCCTTTACCAATTTAGAAGGAATCGACTACAAGTTGCAGTTGCGGCAAGGTTATAATTAATGAACGATTACGCACACTGCACACAAGATATAATGAAATACTGACTGCCAACCCAAAGATTCATTTATCATTTTTAGCGAAAACAATTGATAGATGATTGCAGCAAACCGCTTGAAAATTCTGATCTTTAAAAAATTACTAGTTATATGATATCTCGCTTTTCCCTGAGTATTTTTTCTGTTTTGTCGAAAAAGTACTTACAGCCCTAATGCCAGCTGAACGTAGCTAGATTTCTGGTGGTCCTTCGTATTATACGTATACAGTTTAAGATTAAACAGTTAGAACTCGGGCCTTGTAACGCTTGTAATGTAGGTTCAATTATATTAGAAAAGTACGGCCAAGGTAGCTGCGGCTTTATTTTTAATTTTAGGTATGACTTTTCGGAACCTCAATTTGGCAAAGATGTCTGTGATCGCATCATCAGCCCAATAAAGGGGGCCATTCGCCGTTACTGCAACGAAGGACATGATATCCTGACAGCATCCGACATGCACGAGGCGCTTAAGGCAAGGTAAGTAAAGGGAACAACTGCTGCTGTTTGCCAAGTCTCCCAAACAACCCATGAGATAAAAGTCGACCGCATCAGTAATTTCAGTAGCTTCCACAATTTTTTTTATGAAGAAGAAGGGCTTCGCATTGTGAAGGCGTATGGTGTCGGTGTGGGTAAACTTATTCCATGGTCACAGCTTATCCGTCGCACACAAGGTCCTACATCAATAAAGGAAGTTCATAATCATGAATTTTACCCCTTGGCATCTAGGGCTATTAAGGCGACTCCCAGCGACGATGAAGGCGCTCGTGATAACTCTCTTTTCATGTGTCCCGAGTCCTGCTGTTCCAGGGAGTTCTCTACAGCAGAGGAACTTCAAGACCACATTCATTTTGGTGAGCACGACATGAAAGTAAGCCCCGAGAGCATGTACGACCGTCTTAAGCGCGATTGGGCAGCAAAGTTTCTATCTGTAACACTTGAATCAAAATTGTCGTTCACCGCTGAAGAAGCAACAGGCAGCGAGCAATTACAGGAAGAACCTTGTGGTTTGGGTTGGGCGCTACAAAAACCAAGAGGAGGAGGTGCTAGGTTTTCTGAAAATGTAAAAAGCTACCTCACAGCAAAATTTGACCTTGGTGAGGACACAGGTAGAAAAGCCGATCCTACCCAGGTGGCTGCTGACATGCGGGTAGCAAGAAACACTGATGGTGAGCGTAAGTTTCAAAGGAGTGAATGGTTGACGAAGAGCCAAATACAAGGATTTTTTTCACGGCTTGCAGCCAGCAAAAGGCGGACGAACAAACAAGAATTGGAGGATGACGACGATCATGATGACAGCTTTGATGAAGATGAAGTGGCATACCTTGCCGAAAAGGAAAGACATATGGAAGTAGAGGAGGTTGTCAGCAAAATAGGACTTGTTCATCCTATAACACATGATGGCTATGACATCTGCGAGCTCGCAAAATTGGATGCACTCTCTAACTTAACCGTACCTAAACTTAAGGCCATCTGTGTGAACCTAGACCTTCCTTTTAAGGCTAAGGACGTTAAGACCACTTTAATTAACAAATTAAAGGCAGCTGTCAAGGAATGTGAATGCCACAAGTAAGAAATCGGCGACATGACTGAACACTGGAATTGTAGAAAGTCTTTGTAATGTGGTCGATTGTGTCCTAAAAAATATTATGCTACCCTAGAATAGTCGTGCCGTGTTTGTAGCATTTAATTAAACTGCAAGTTGCAGTTGCATTCCTGACCAAAAGTGAACATATTTGCCTAATGAAATTTTGAGTGTTAGCCATACAGAACATTATTGTTAGAGCGACATTTCATTCTATTTTTCAAGGTTGTTGTCTATATAGACTTGAGTTGAATTCACATGTTTAACAATTATGATTAGTAACCTGGCTGGGTGGGGTAAAAGGTTTGACGGGTTTTTAGTCTTTTTTATATTCCTAGAATATACCACTGAAAAGGTCAAAGTGATCATTGAGACAAACATGTATGGATAGGCCTAAAAGTGCAGCTACACAGATTCTTACAGTTTATATGTAGAGTACTTCAACGTGACATCTTTTGGCCTGCTGATATAAACGATACCATGCCGTCAAAAATGACTTAACCTACAACGTTCCAGGGGTTAAAACGCACTTTGTACTTTTTAAAGAGGAAAAACGCGTTGAGTTAGGGTCTATTTCCTGTGGAAGAAGAGTATTTTATTTGTAATTAGTTGATCACAGAGATTTTGGTGTTTTCGGCCCGGAGGGAAAGGTACTTAGGTTAATTTTTGTTGGGTATACCTTATCAATCCTTTAAATAGGTTCGTGACCCATTTTTTACATTGAATGAAGAACACTTTACTTTTCACCTACAATACAAACGTTCTGGAACGTTTGTTATCCGTAAATATGAAGAACCGTCTTGCCCCATAAAATCCGAAAATGTGCTACACTATTCTAGTAACTCCATTGAAAATGCGACGATTATTATAGTCAATCCAGTCGTGAAAATGCGACCCCATCCAGCGGCACATCCCCAATAGCCTTATAAGGAAGTACCCATCCCCTGACGGGGGTTTTCAGTAACACCACATGTGCGATACATTCAACCAAAATTTCCGGAAATTTCGGTCCAAAACTCAATGGATCGGTTCGGTCCAACCGGAAAAGTTTCGAAAAAACGGGTCCACCTTTTGAGGTGGACCACTTTTCCCGGTCGGACCGGTTGGAATTTCGGTTGAATGGATCGCGCCCCACAAGTTACGAAGCGACGTGACCATAACCTTACGTGACAATCACGCTATGATTTGATTGTGATAATATAACGTATAACGTAAGGCTAGCTGGTTAGGCGTCAGTAAATTCAATTCAACTGCTGGCTTGCTGAATAAATTTCTTTCATCAAGAACCTAAAGTAAAGGTAAGCTTCTTTTTTGCTGAAAAAAGATGAAGCAGTGTATACCGGCTTTGTTTCAAATGATAGTTGGCAGTCTGATTTTTACAATTGTTTGTACCGCGGCGAGTTTCACACTACTGAAATGGTGGAAAGAACTAAAAAAAATTTCATTGCTTTTCTTGTATAGATTTGTCTTCCCGGTTTGTCATCCCTATTCTCATCATCGATAAAGCTTGAATCAACTTCTGATTTAGACACAGTAGAGTGGACCAACTATGGTTCAATATGTATGTATGCCCTCCAGTTGATCGTGGTGATCGTTATATTGATAAGCATGACGATCCCTGTTAATAATCTCTTTCGGTTTAAAAGTGTTTAAAGAAGTTCATTATCTGACTTTTAGATGCTGCAGACGAATTTAAGTGTCAAAAACGGTAATTTCGTGGAACTTTAAACCTCTACAATCGTGACATCCAACACGGCCGTTAATTATGCAAATACGCACCATGTCAGATTACAATGTCTTGTCGTCTGCAATCCCAAAAGATACCCACAAGTCTGAGCCTATAAACCAATAAAATAGGTTTAAAACTTTACTTTTATGTGTTTTTTATCCTTGATTTAGGCCGCAACTTTTGAGATTTTTTCCCTCAAACCTTCCTTACTTTCAGGGTTTGAATTAAGCCAGTAGAATAGGTAGTCTTTGAACTACTGTACCTCGTAACTTATTTTGTCAAAGATGTTTACATTTAGCCTGTGAACTATCTGAGGTCAACTAATAAAACTGTATGAAACAGATTTTTTGTGCAGGCATTCGTTTGTTTGCAGCGCGCCTCTCAAAATGCACCAATTTTAGTCTTTCGATTATCCTCTGAGAGGCCGAGACGGCCTCAATTTGTTTTTGGCTCGTAGCAGCGGTAAGAAAAAGAATTTGAAAACAAAAATAGCGATTTTAGTATATACATACCAAAGCCTCTTCACCATCAAAAAATAAAGGAAAACTATTTTTGGTCGCGAAGTCGAGTGGACCGCTTTTAGGGAGACTGCCTCTTAATTTGTGACAAATGTATGCGCCCGGGTAGTCGTAATAGAGACAAACTTATGCATTGACATGAACGCACTACAATGTCTTGTCACGGTAGAATCGAGTACTTTTAGTTGCTAACTTTGGAAGTGTGGAAATGTGGAAATGCGTCTCCATTGTCTTAATTTATTTAGTAACTCTGGACGTGTGGAAGTGTGGAAATTTGGAAATGTGGAAACAGGGGCGGATCTAGGGGGAGGGTGCAGGGGGTGCGCACCCCCCCCCCCCC